CGCTCTCTTTCCCTCAGGCTTCCCGACCAATACCCGGTGCACACCTCTTGTCCCATCCATGCGCGCTACATGCCCAGCCCATCTCATTCCCCATATTACTTCTCATATACTATTTTACACAAACTGCCAGAAAGCTGTAAATGTTGGAAAAATGTGTCAATTAAGAAATAAATATATTAATGTCAGCTTTTCTACACTTAATATAGTAGAATTTTGGGTCCAAACCCTGCATGTGAGGTCAATAAATTACCACCCTGTTTCTATTTATTCTTTATCATGACAATAAATCTGTGAAATTTTAAAATGGCAAAAAAAAAATTCAAGTAGGAAATGATGAAATCTGAGAATTAGTCAATCTAAAATATTTTACCCCTCATGCTTCAAATGCAGAAATAGTGAAAATATAAACCTAAAATGTTTAATTTTATAGATAAAGAACATACATTTTACTTACATCACATATTATTGCTAATTTTTACAATTAAAAGTGAAACCACGACACGTGAATTATTTCTGTCATTCCCAGACAATTTTGTTGCCATTCTTCGTTCTTACAATACTGAGAGGATATAAATATCGATATCACTGATGATTGAGACAGCAAGGACCTCTGAAACAGTGGTAAACTTGTACCAGACTACTATACGCCACAACCCAGGAGACAGCCATCTTCATAAGTACTCTTATTTCATAACATTCAGTTCATTTTTCAAAACTCACCAAAAATAAAGAACTTGGGAGATCTAATTTCTGATACAATGGAATGGTTTCCAGACCAAGAGCCAATAAATCAACATCCAACGAAAACAATTCTCCAGACAGAGGAGTAATGTTGGAATCCCATGCTCTTTCATGCTTGAACTGAAAATGTCCTGAAACACACGAATTATATGGTAACACATATAGAACAAGAAAGCACTCATCTTTGTTTCCCCCGCCCAGAAAACCAGATGGTTAAATACGTACACAAAAATACCTGCAGAAATAAATCTTAGTAACACGCTTAAAATCATCTGACCTGAGATTGGAGCCTTGAGAAGGGCTTCAAAGTCAGCACCTTGCAACTCTGCTTCATGATCTGGACCCGGCAACGGCTCTTCATACCGCGCCCAGTTGCTGAAAATCTGCCGATGATGAGTTTTCTTTACTTTCAAGGCATTAATATCATCAGTTTCCCTCTTCAAGTTGGCAAACAATTCTGCTGTATCTGGTAAATCTTAAATCAAAACACAGTACCACTTCACTTGTAGATGGAAACAAAAGTGGTAATTGCCATGCCTAAAGGAATCACTTAATCTAAAGCAGCATTTACACAATTTCTCAGATATTTGGCATAGTGGGTGGTGCCCACAGTTGCCCTGAACAAGATAATGATGAGAAATATTCGTAACACATGCCTTAGCAGCTTGGTACCTGCTGAGCTCACCATCTGGTCATACTGCAATCTATGTTCTTTATTTACCTGTTGGATTCACTTATGATTTCACTTCTCATATTCAACATTCAGTGTAATTTGAAACATTCACATTTGTGAATACAAACCTGCTCCTCAGCTACAAAAATTTTCAGAAACATGCAACAAATTTGTCTCATTTATTTTTTTATCAATATACTGAGACAGATTTTGTTTGTCACAATGTCTAAACACGTGAATTTCCTGCAACACTCAACAGCTACTAACATTCTTGAGTACTTCGCACCTGCACCTGACTTTGAATCAGGTTGTGAAGAAGGGAGAGTAGGATCAGAGATCTTATCTTTTACTGATCTATCAGCATTATTGCTGCTGCCTTTCATTCTCTGCTCCTGAGGTGCTCTGCTCCTTTGTTGCCGCTGAGCTTTTGGTCCTGAACCATCATCACTTGGAACAGAACAGCCTGCTTGTTTCTGATTTCCATCTTTCTTCTTCCTATCCATCTATTCTGAAAAGAGTCCCTGTGAACTGAACATATGAAATTATAAATCACTGACTGCCATTCAAAAGCAGTCTCCTCTGTGGAATACAGAGAAACAAGATCTGCAAAGTCATTCATGCATTCATTCTTCCAGAGAAATTCCTTTGAAAGAATGTCAAGTATAAAACGTAAAATTTGAACATGTGTTCTGTGGATCATATGTCCATTTTTCATTTCAACTATATGATCACATTAACTAAAAATTACCTTTACTCTAGGATCAGCCACATCAAAGACAACATCCCTAACTTATGACTGCGGGAACAATAATGTGCAGCTTGGTCAGCGCTAACACACCCACATTTCATGGATTGGTAATAGATGAGTATGGATCAATAGTGTTATGATGATTAATTGGGAAAAACCAAAGAAATCTAGTGCTACTTCATTAATCACCAATATCATTTCACATCACCCAGACTGAACCCAGGTGTCTGCCCATGGATAACTGCCATAATCACATAACTTCAATGTTTATTTCTTTAACTGCTGAACTTCTATTGAATGCAATGGATATGGATGAACAAAAAATAGGATGATTTAATTACTGATCTCGGAAATTGAAGAATAAAATATGTCTAGATAACTGGTTCTGGGAAAGAATTCAGAAATAATCATAGTACATATGCAAAGTCAACTGTCTGACTGAAATCTATTAACGTTTAACAAATTAATGTTGACGTAAGAACCACCATTACAATCCTTGTCTTTGGGTTGTCTCACCTGTAATTCAAAATATAGCTTTAGCTTTTCGTGTTGTTTGTCGTGCATATGTTATTCGTTCGAGATATGCGACATTTAACTGTACTGCCATCTATTGACAAAGTCTGTAAAGCAGCGCCTCTGTAGGGTAGCAGAGAAACCAAAATAACGTAGCGTAGTCGTCGGTAGCAAGTCGGTAAAATGATTAACACTTTGCCGATGTTCTCCTGCAGAAGGAAACAATGTTTTTCCAAAACGTTTCTACCTACGAGTTTACACAGCTTTACGACCCATATTCTTGCAATTGAACGTCATTGCATGCTAAAGGGATGCCTATTTATTCCAGAATTCGTAATTTCTCAGAATTCTCAAAACTGTTGTTAAAAATTACAGTTATAATTCGTAATTTCTCAGAATTCTCAAAATTGTGGTTAAAAATTACAGTTACTTCCTTTAATTCGTAAATTCAATAATCAGAACACAAGAAAAACAAAATGAGCTAAGGCGGCCCCCGTTTTCCATGGAATAAGAACAGCTTCAAACTACAATGGTTGTCTTGCCTATCTGACACAGTGAAGAACTGAATGAGGATCCCTTTTGCAGACGTGAGGTACACAGGTATCATGCGCGAATACCATTATCGTACATCTAAACCAGCGACATATAATGAGTTGTGCTACTTCATTGTTGTCACAAGTAGAATTACTGGCAAATTTTTAAAATAAAATGATTTTCAGTAGATAATGCATTCATTCATTATTGTTGCAACAATAATTATAGTTACTATTCCTGTATAAAACAAGATCAATAAGATTAAAATCCCACTTTATACCTATTTCTCAAATCAAAGATATTGTACGATGCATAACAATAACAGTAATCGAAATAATTAAATTATCCCATCAATATAATCAAATACCGTTAACGGTCAGTCTAATCACTAGAACCTTAAGATTCGTATTCGTACTACTTCCATGCTGTTGTTGCATGTTTTTCGAATATCTATCATCATACTATATTTATGGATCCTGCATTAGGAGGCGCTAGTGTCTGTCGCATCCCAGAATTTCGTATGGTATCCAAGTTCGTATTCCTACTAATAACAGAAAATTAAGAAGTGCAAATATCTTCTTCATCATGATGATCATAAAAATCTATGAAGTTTTCAACAATTGAATGACTGCGGAAGATACACAGGCATGAAAATGCCAGACAAAACGCCATGAAGATTTGATTCAAGATCCTTCCGAACGCAAGAGAGGTCTCCCCAATCGGGAAATCGATCGAGTGGACCCAGAGAGGAAGTCTTCCACTTACAGGTGCAAGGCCAATAAACAAGAAGTAGAGCAGCTCCGCCACGCTTCGTGCTCATATAATGCCGACTGACCAGGCTGGCACGCCTCAGTCAGCAAGCAGCGTGTGTGAGTGTGGATTTATTGTGTCAGTGCCGCAGTTACAACATGACGAGCGTAAGTCCACACTTCCGGTTCCGAATCATTTCCGGAAGGAGATACCTACAAAATTATCGGTTACAGGTATATTTTTCCGTACCAATCGGTATACAAATATTTATTTTGTTACTTTAAAGCATTTAAATTGTATCGAAAGCCTTCAAATTCTCAATAATTACGTACAGAAACTGCAGTGGCCCCTAACTCAATTGACGGTAAAGAAGAATAATAAATACGTGCTGGGAAACCCACGTCAAAATTTCCATCACATCTAGAAACGTAATTTTAACACTTTCTTTGCAATATTCCCCCAAAATTAAAAATTGGTGAGTTGGTAAAGGCTCTTATAACGATACGTTAATACTGCCTTAAGTTCTATTTGTCCCACCCCTTCTCTACACAAACCACGCGGTCATGGCTGTGTTTGAAGATCGCTGTCTTCAGAGTTGTTGCGCTGTGTTGCGATCACCCTGATGATGGAGGCAGCAAGCATCTCTGAAAAGTTGGTTAACTTTATCCAAATTCGCCGACGTGAGAACCTGGAATATCACAAGGACTGTATAACCTCGAAACAACCCTATTGTTGGTTGTTGTTGCAAATGTTAACGGTGTTACGTTGGCTTGGTTTTCGTGTTCTTAGATCCCCTTGCTATGCGTTCTTTGAACAAAGTGAATGCAAAAAGAGGAGTAGTATCAGTCCATCTGTCAAATTCCGCTCGATCCATATTCTAATCCAAAGGAATTAAGTTGAAAACTTTCCATGCTATTTCTACGGTCTACTCTAATATTGTTACCTACATCGAGATCTTTCGATTGGACTCTTTCCGTAGAGGTTTTCGTATTTTCCTCGTGTATGCTGTACGTCCCGCCAATCCCATAAACTTTGATTTGATGACTCCAACAAAATAAGTAAGCAACATAGATTTGAGCGTGGGGAACATGAGAAACGAACATAAAATTTTAGTCCGAGATTCTGAACTTAAGAGACCAGTTGACGAACGTACTCAACTGACACAGGACAGGGTCCAGTGGCTGGTCCTTGTGAACACAGTAATGAAACTTTGGTTTCCATAAAAGGCAAGGAAATTCTTGACCAACTGAACAACTGTTAATTTCCCAAGAAGGACTCTACTCCATAGAAATACTGCCACAAGAAAAAAAACACACACACGATGAAATGCCAGATGATCTGAGTGAGGCCTTCGTGGTTCACCCAGTTATTCCAGGCAAACACGTCGTTAAATAGCTGAGAAATAAATAAATCTAAAGTTGTGGCGAACACATTTTTTCATACACCGGTACGGTTTCCTTTAATAAAAACGTTGAACATTTCGGAAACAAAAAGCTATTGGGAATAAGACGACTTCAACCGACTTTTTTTATTACAGTAATGAGCAGAAGTAGTAATTAAAACCATGTATTTGGCTGTTTACTTTGCTCCCTTGTCCTGGTACCAACACAAACGAAGACGATGATAAAATTTATATTTGAAGACTGTCTGTGGAATAAAATATGTAAGTGCTAAAAATTACATCTACCAGGAAGATTATCGTAGACAGACAACACGGTGTTAAATAAAAGTGTCCATTGAAAATCGTCCAGGAAGGCAACGTACAGAAATTATATTCACATTTGTTGTACAAACTGTTTGTGGTATCTGGTGTCTATTTTATCTGCAGCATAATTGTCTCATAATGACGATAATTCAATACAAACTTTTGTTTTAGTAAAGATTAACTAGCTAAACGTCCCATTAGCTTCTCAAGGACTGCTCCATGAAGTTGAGTCTTAGAGCAGTGCTGTCCGTTTTGTTTACTGTATTTTACAGCTCAGACATAACGCAGTAGATGTAAAAGTGTGTTTAAATATATAAACACAAATATACTAATACGCGTTTTATCCATAAAAACACCAGAAAATTATCTGGGGAGAGAAACACAAAATTATAGTAGCCTATTTCGGAAGAGGACCGCAAAACTGATCCAGGGAATCAGAGAACTGGCATTTGCATCTAAGATATTTAAAATGTCCAGGCCAAAATGCAGTGGCAGCCCTGGTGGACTGCAAACGGTCACGTGCCTTTGTCTCTGGCCAGCAACCTACATTTCTGCCTTCTGCGCGACAAGGGCGTATGTACAAAGAGTTTCCATTAGTGTCCTGTGCCTATTGGTCCTTCGAGTTTCTTTCACAGAAGACAACACACTGATCGTTAGAAATGTGTGTCTTGTGTCACATTTACAAGAACAGGCCACTCGCTTGCCCATTGCTATAGACAGAGGAGTGTTTTTAACAATGTAAATGCAAGCGTCTCTCAACAATTACGAGAAACTCTTGGATGAAAAGAAATGTGAAGTAAAATCAGGATGATTTTAACCTTTTAAATCGAAAGTTTAAAGTGCGGGACCAATTTTGAACTTCACAAAAGTGGTCGTACGATCGGTTACATTCGTTCTTACAGGAGATTCAGTTTCACAAGTTATTCGCTACGTCAATACCAATTCAAACTCAATTTTAAAAGAGTTGCTTGAAAGTAACACGCACCATGAGCAGAGTCCTTAAGAAGTTAATAGTCACTCAGCTGGTCAAAAGTTAGTATTAACATGCTCACGACAGCTTACCATTACATATCTTATTAGTTCTGTGGTAATAGTATAATCTCCAGTGCGTTACGTGATGTAATCAGGTCCTGATAATTACAAGACTGAAATACATACTTCTTTTATTTATTGATCACAAAAATACATGGGTGGCAGGAATATGCCCCCCCCCCACCCGGATTATTGCTAAGAAATCAAAATTGAACCACATGAAAGAAGAAGGAAATATATCAAACATTAAGACCAAATATAAAAAATTATTTTAAAAACATTGTAATTACTGCCTCAACCATCAGGGCGATGAGTAAGACAGCCATCTTCGGACTCAGCAGTTCCACGTGCCTTCCATTCCATAGCTTTAGGGAAGTGAGTAATAATATGGCGCGCTGTTTTAGCGTAAGCCTACGTGAGAGGAAAGGTGAAAGCCACGCCTGATATTTTGTGACAGAGATGAAATCTGTTTTTTTTAAGGTTTTGAAATTCCATGGCTTCTGTAAGAGAGAGAGAGATATATATATGAAGTTTTTTTAAGGGATGTCAGAGGACTGCCTGGGACTGGTGATAGATGGAGCCACTAGTGAAACCTGTATTCGGATTAAACCTAAGCTCGTCTTAATACTATTTAAACATTTCGGCCATACTTAACAAAAACAGAGCCAGCAAATGATAAAGGACGCCGTCTTAATACTATTTAAACATTTCGGCTATACTTAACAAAAACAGAGCCCGCAAATGATAAAGGACGTAAGTAAACTTACGTTAATCTTCTTCAAGTTTTCCCAATAATTGAACGTCTGATGAACTACCAATACACAAAACGGGGGATTAGTGATTACAAAAGCCCTTCCACCGCGTTTAGGATGCCTTCGCCGTGTAATGTCTGATGAGTGCAGGGTGATATGACGACCTTGAACAAACCAGACGAGAGGAACTGGTGACAACAATGTCACCCTACAAAACAAAACCAGACCAGCATTCTTGCGCTGATTTCTTCACTTTCTATTTGGGTCCGAAGTTATTCTGCAATGGAAAGTATAAGATTAACCATCAAGTAGAATTAATCCTCTAGTTTTATAGTTTGTCTATAAAACTATTTTGAAATAAATTAGATTTCTTTGCCATATTATGTGCATTACACGTGGTTAATTTCCCAGGAAAAATCCCGTCACCGAACCCTATCACAAGTCCTAATGAACCAATTACACACATTTACATCTTAATATTATTTTCTAAGCTACGCGTACGTTTCCAAAGTGGTCCCTTCCCTTAAAGTTTACCAACCAAAATTGTACATGCATTTCACATTTTCTCAATAATGTTTGATGTCCAGACTCTGTCTGGTCTAGTTAATAGGTCGAGCGAAATAAATCTATGTCATCAGTCATTCAAATGCACGGACCACCTGATGTACTTTTGTTTGCGAAACAGTTGAAAACACATAAGATCAACATATTTGCAAAATACATCACGTGTATTTGAACCAGCTCCTCGCATCTGTGGTTTCTTTGAATTCCTAATATTTGCAATGCAAACACGAGGCACACACTCGTCCGTCACATTTGAAATTCCGGTCAGTACACAAGTTCCCAGAACTTTACTAGACTCAGCTGGAGTAATAATTTAAAAAACGAGTTGGAATCAAAACCACTACTACTAGCTGAGATGTAGGTATATGGCACGATAGCACAGATACACTTGTCAGACTTTCTCGAACCTGCTGTAACTAGCTGATCGTCAACTGCGAGGATAATACCTCTCTCAGCCGTGGAGATAAAATCTGTGTCATTTGGTGGTTAAATAAAAATTGCAAGATTCTTATTTTAGGAAATGAGGTTCAACTGTAGCAGCGCGTAAGCTTCTATACAGCATCTTTTCTGATGACCGTGCTGTGCCCAGTTTTACAGAAAGTGGTCCATACCAGTGCAGAAGAAACTCCATGTTCAGGACCTACGCTTTCGAGTTTAAAGTCGACTAAACTCCAATGGAGTCCTTGAGAAGCTTATAATCGCTCAACTCGTCTAGAAATCACTTATGAAGCCCGAAAGTTAAACCAAGTTCAAATTAGTCCGACACACGTCTTGATCCAGTTCAATCTAGTCTAGGACCTCACACCCTATTTCGTGAATATCCTCTTTATTATCCTCCCATATATGTATGACTGTTCCAAATTGTGTCTTCCCTTCAGATATTGCGTTCTACACATCCCACCCATCTCATACTCCTCGATTTGGTTACCCTATTAATAAGATTATTTGAAGACGACTATAGACTATAAAAATTGGAACAACGTTATTGCATTCAGCATGAACACTCATGCACAATGGGAATATACAAACCAATAACACTCTTAAACGAGACATCACAGTCAGCTGTAAACAATTCACCCTCCTCAACTACAAACTTTATTTAAAATGAATATAGCATGTCAAGCAGGAGTGATTTGGAAGGAAAGGATTTGCATTGCAGTGCAGTCCACATGGGATTCATAGCTAAAACAGGTATTCCAGGGTAATTCCCCTCTATTATGACATTCTTTCCTTTCTTTCAACGACTGCGAGGAAGCAGATTGATTGATAAAACATACTTAAACGAGAAACATATAGGCCAATACATACACAAATCCGGTCCACCTAACCTAACCTAACTTAACCTAATCTAACCTAACCTAACCTAACCTAATCTAACCTAACCTAATCACAGTTGAGTATTCTCGTACGAGCAGCCCGGAATATGACCCGCCCCATTGAGCTTCCTCGTGACTTCCTAATTCACGTAACCTGCTCATCAGGTTGCAGTGTAGGTCTTTAAAACAATATTTTGGCATATAAATAAAATTTACTGTCATGGCGATAACATGCTACAGATTTCGTGATTCCTCTTAGCTCTTTTACGGAAAACTGAACGACTAATTACGTTCCAAAATGCAATCTTTGTAATTCTGGATAGTCTACAATAATTGCATGTGTTAATTCATTATAGAAATGTTCTCCGTTGCTACAAAGCTAACCAGAAATATGATAACAACACCACACAACACTATTTATTTTGAAAAAACAACGCTGAGCATACAAATATTTAGTGAAACATATATCATAGAAACGTATTTTAAATACAAGACCTATTTTATGTTATTTACAATCTTTGTGTACGATAAAACGATGTATTAAAACAAAACTGACTGCGGCCACATGTAAAATTTAGTTTACAATTTCCAGCGTACATTTCTAATGCCAAATTTAATTTACACCTGTTGAATAGTTTCGTAGCAAAAGCACAGACCGGCGGAGACACGTCGTTCTATAAATACTTACTTTTATGCACTTCCTAAAAAGAACGTATTACATTCCGTTGAGGCACGTAAATGATCCACAAAATACGAATGAATATAGGCCCGTTGTTTGTATGCAGGTTATTAATCAATATCGTGTTCAAATAGGAACATGCTCTACATATGTGACAATGCCATGTCTCATCGTGTCCACATTTGAATTTGTTTATCCTGTGCATGGACGTCACCTTGACTTGAGCAACGTAAGGCAAGAGTTTTCGTGTTTCGGACTGCAATTATAGGAAGTGTAAGGAGAGAAAGCATTCAGATAACAGTAATGTCCTACTGGAGGACGTGGCAAGACTTAATCGAGTTCCTTAAGTGACTCGGGAGACATACTGGTACACTTTCAGGGGCGGATATACACACGACCTTTCGGCGTGCGATACGATCACAAATGTGGGATTCACGTCGAGGCAAGACAAGTTTCAATTTGGGCACCTGTATAAAATGCTAGGGGGAGGAGCGAAAGTGTCGCGTCCTACATCCCTATTATTTTCGATGTTCATATTCTCTTCTTATTTTTGTTTTCGTCATGAATATACACGACTAAATTACCTTTTTCGGTGTCACATTCGTCTTCCAATTGATCTGTGATCAAAAAGTTTGTGTTGGGTGTCTGTCACAATCTAACCAGTTTTGTTTATATTGTGCGAATTTCTTTTCGAATGCATCCACGTGAAGTTCTTCTAAAATACTTTAATTTCATCTACAATCTAATAAAATGTTTCTCGCTGCGTCTCATCTTTGTCTTAGACAATTTGTTTCAATGTGCAGATTTCACAGCCACATAAACGTACAGTGCGACAAAAATATTGTACAATTTCAGTCAAAATTGTCTTTGAATTAAATTTGGTTTCATAAAATTTTCATAATTCCCAAAATTTTGGTAAGATGTACTTAGTTCTATTTTGCTCACTAGCTTGGATAGTAATGAAAAAGTCACCTACTCAGAGTGTACGATTAAAACTGTAATTGAAATATTTCAAAACAAAATGCCAAAGATTATATCTAATAGCTATTTACATTTATGAGATCAATTACATGAGAAATAATATATATCACATAAGAAGGTAATATGTGATTTTATAGGCAACCTACAAACATTTGCATCATCAAGTCAACAAAGATAAGGTGAACTACAAATATAACTAACACGTGAAAAAAAAAAACATCAAAATGTTGAAAATTTTGACAAAAAATGTTTTCAAAGGATGGCTGAGGAGGAGACATTAGGATTATATTAGAATGAATCAAAAACATATATTAAAAATTGGATTAAATTAGTTCAGAATCAGGAGGTTTAGTCAGTGTTAGCAGTGCTGAATTTTGAACTTAAAATATTATATATATTCTTATCCAGACAATGGACGTCAACCTGTAACTATGGGAGGATTGACATCTCATTTTCTTTTTTTCTAGGTCCAAATATTCCTCTCAGCTCATTTTTTTCTAAATCTATTTCTTTTCTTCACATCCATATCAATTCACATGTAAAATTATGACTTATCTTTCAAAGATATCATGAGAGGAACAAATGATCGATTTTACCCAAGTACGATAGGAAATGGGCGTGGAATTTGATTCTCAGTTTTATTATAGGCTGTGCTGCTCATACCGCTACTAGCAGTATTTTGGAGTGCCAGAGCCGACCTGCCAGGACAGATCACTACGGGCGCTGTGATACACTTTGGAGAAGATCCTACAACTCAGTACGCCAAGGTAATGTGATTAATTTCAATATTATTAACCTTTGTTCAGATATCATGACAAATTGCAGTCTTTCATATGTAATTGGTTCTTCTGTGTTTTTATTTAACTGTTGTGGTTAAATACTATCTCATTCTCATCAAAGAACTTACAATCAAAAACATAACTCAAATTACTGAACTTCAAACTAACCTAAAAATGATAATAAAATTTAATCTATTTATGTATATTGGAACGAATTTTAAAGAAATTCTAAGAATATGGACTGGATTGCTGTGATGCAGGATAGGATCCAATGGTGGATTTTTGTGAAATGGTAATGAACCTTCAGATTCTATAAAAGGTGGGAATTTCTTGACTTGCTAAATAACTTCTCAGGAAGTACTCCATAGCTGTTAGTCATAAAGAAGACAGCCAAAAGAAGTTTACTACAAATAGAACATTATCGTTAATATATAACAAAACAACGACTTTTATTAGGAAAATTACGACGGAGTACAAGGATTGCGTTACTTTGCTACATCTGGGGCCAATCAACTGCCAGGACTCCAGCAGCCACTGTTAGTATACCCAGGATCGGTCCTTGGAAATGGACCCATTATTATACCAACACAGGTTAGTACTTACCAAACATTCCACACCCACTTAATGTAACCCATATTACAAATTCTGCTAAGGATGTTCCATATCATTCATCCCCACTCTGTACACTAATTCATAATCATTGTTTCTGCACTTATATTTTGTATGCTAATTCTTTACACCATAATACTAAGTGCAACTGCAAATTATCTCTAATCTGGTGCTTCAATGCAGTAATTAAGGACTTGGGGGATGGGGGTGAAACCATTTTCATTCAAACTCAATTAAGAAACCCAAATATTTAAGTTCTATCAGAATATGTTAACAGTAAAATCAAGACAGCCACACAGATTAAATGTGCTTTTAAACAAAGAGATTATGGGAAAATCCCATAACAGGAAAAATATTAATCTGATTTGCAGTAAGTATGCCATAATTCTGCATTCAGGTGGGGATACAGAATGTGGCTGGTGGCAACAAGGGCATCCCATATTACGGTTACTTCGTGTCCAGTACGCCATCGCCGCAAACGCCTGCAACACTGCCGCCACCTCCGCTGCCTCTACCACCACCACCACCACCACCTCCACCACTTCCACCGCCCATATCACCACCCCCTCTACACACAAATGTGGATCTCACATATGATTCACTGTCATCATCTTCATCCCTGAATGGTGCATCTTACAGTCCTCCCACATATACAACACCTGTACCCTCACCAGCCCCACAACCAATGTTAACGTCTCCACCACCAGTGCAAGCAACCACATATGGACCTGCTAAACCTGTAGTGTTGCGTCCTTATTTAACAACTAAACATAGAGGGACATTTGTATTGGGGCCACCACATCACCATCTCACTGCAACAAAAGCACTTATTGGTCATTACCACCATCTTATCCCTGTTTCACCAAAACACATCCATACAGGACCTCCACCAATCGTCCTCATAAAATCAAAACCACATCCATATCCTGTAATATACGCAGCACACAATCCTCAAACCCATAAAACACCATTACCACCTACACTTTACGGTCCACCAACAAGAAGACCTCAGATATCTCAATCAAATGCACTCAGTCATCCTGATATAACAAAGGCAATTTTTCACCCGCAACCACAAGACAGCTATGCAGCAGCAGCAGCTTTAAGTAGTGCCACAAATCCTCCTGCAGCCTACAGCTTTGGGACAACTGCAGCGCTGCCACAACAGTACTATGTCCCACTCATTCCTTACACATCTGTGTTGGGACCACAGCACCGTAGCGATGAAACAGGGGCACTGCGTAACAGCGGGGACGTAGCTCAGGAGGGAACTTCTAAGGACACTGTCGTTGGTCAGGAACACTACCCTGATGGGGAATTTGACGAACAGTTAAGCCCAGTTCTCTTTTACAAAGGTGTCAGACCTCCCATGAGACTGTACCAGGAACCACAGACATCTTTGATTCCAGCACCTTCCAAGCTGGCAGAACTTGAAAAAGAAGCCGTGGTAACAGGTAGGTAAACACAGAACTAAAACTGCCTCGCTGGATGTATCATGAAGGGACTATATATGTAACACCATCAAAGCTACCCACTGTGCACATAAACATACAGGGAAAACCACCTTGGTCCATGGTCTGGCTTCACTTCTTAAGAACGATTTTCTAAATTTATGATCACTGTAAATTAACAGCCTAATAAATGTCAGTGACCTCCATGACTGAAACTGTATAGTTAATAATTTAAATTAAATAAATGATTTCCAATAGACAAATACTGACAACTGACTGGTGCTACTTCATTTCTGCACTTTTGTTTCATGGGTTCTACACCCTCATTCACCGCAGCCTAGATGAGTTTTGAAAATAATAAATGTGCCCTTTTTTTAGGAAATATTCTGAGCCCAGTCAGTCATTCTGCTGGATCATCATCTAGCTGGATGCCCATCAATGCTCCAGAAGGAGCAGTACCTGCACGTGCATATGAGATTCCAGCACCAGATCTGTCACGAGGCAACAGCTATTATGCAGATGAGGAAAGCGAAGAAAGAGGTCAGATGATGATGGATTATTCTCATGGTCAAGGCGGTAAAGTCTCTGCTGTTCCAGTCAGTCACGGTGGACGGTTTCCCACACAGACCGACAGTGACACTCATCAAAGAGATATATATAAGGGGAACTCAGAGGAAGTTGTGTCTGCAGTTGTGCTTGTTAAACAGAAGTAATATACATCTAGATATTTGAATAGGATTCTTGTGATGAAAGGCTACATATCCAACTTTTGAACTGGCCAACTCATCATTTCATCTTTTTCAGTTCATGATATTGGGCAACTTGTTGAAACCAAGAAAGACTAGAGCTTAGTATATGAAGCAAAGTCATGAAAAACACTGAGAAGGTTCAACCACGATCAAATGTAATAGTTCAGCTGAAGTGTTCACTACATTTTGTGTTATTCACAATGACACAAAAACTGTAAAATAGATATGCAACATCTGAAAATGCAAACAAGTACACATTGTACAATTTTCCCACAATTTTTAATTAAGTGCCTAATTTCTGTTGACTAACATTAAATTATACAAGTTAAATATGGTATTTCTTAAATGTTAACACCAAGTCTTTCATATAGAATACTACAAAGACCTGCATATTTATTACGTGAAAATGTACATCAGTATCAATAAGACAAGAATATCAAATGTTTCATATGTTTATGTAAAACAGGAAATTAAACAACTTGAATTTCAGCTTAACTGTGTATAGTACCTTAAAACTCAGCAACTTATTACTGCAGACTCAAATTTCCTCTTCACCTTTTCTTTGGAGCCTGATTCTATGAATGAAACACATCTATTAAATAATATAAAATCATATATTTGTACAAAACTATATATTTACAAAGTTATATACATATTCACATGTTTCTCATAGCAGAAGTATCTGATGAACATATGAGTTGGCTGGAGAAATGAAGCAAGACACACTGTTACATAGCGTCCTGAAATACGTACAGAAAAAAAAAAATAATATCTACCATTTAAAGTAAATCACTTACACTGCTGTATTAATTAAATGGTCTTTTTTAAAATTATTGCTCAATGAACAAATCACTGTAAGTAAAATTAGCAACTACTGAAAAGTGGAACTACATGATCTTCGTGAGGTTCATTTTGTATTCAAATGCACAATTGTTCGCTGCTGATTTAATGAATGTGACACAAAGGAACACTGTTTACATGATTAATTACATTACAGACATAATGGAATACAAACAGAAAAAACACCTATTTTTTTACTTATTAACCATCAAATAAACACATTCAAATGCATATTAAACTTATCAGGCATTATTAATATTTAAGTCATTTCATGAGAGCTCCATTCATTTACATTTTTAAAAAATACATTTTTTTTTGTTTTGCATCAGTTCTGTTCTTTTATTCATGTTGATGCTTTCACTTTTTTGGTCTTCTTTTTTCTCTCATGTTTCTCTTTTTTCTTTCAAGACAAGCAGAATCCACACAAGGCTGAATGCTCATTCCAAGTTTACACCTAGATCATTTAAAACAAAACACACAAGAAATTAACTCCCTCACACAACCCAATCTCAAAAATAGAAAATAATATCAGAAGTAATCAGCACAGCATGCAAAATTAAACAAAATGAGGCACTTCATGTGAAAAGGGTCCAACTGCTTGAGAATGCATTGTACCACTATATATTCACAACTATATTCAGACTACTGCAGACAGCTTAGGTCTGTGTTTACATATACTATTTCAAGATACTTCACTTTATGACAACCTGAAGTGGTTTAGTACACCAAATTCATTGACAAAACTTTAACGTACAATTTGCACACATTCATAATAATGCAGTATACGCAGTACATGGTTTGACAAAATTTACTATGTGATGTCTGCTGTGCATAATCTAACCATTTTCTATCAAACCTCATGAAACTGATATAATGTCTTGAAAATATAAAACAGCTGGAAAAAAAAGCATTACATGACACTGCCACTACAAAGAATGCATAGTTACAAATATATCATCATCGCAACATAAAATAGTAACCACTATATTTGTAACACATTCTTTGTGGTTCTGAAATCATGGTGGAATGTTACCTACGCAATAACATCACTGACAGTTTTCTGCACCAGTTTCCTTAGCATTATTAGTTACTTGTTTCCTGAAAACTGAAGGAAGTATTTATAACAGAATGAAAGACTATCTACGTACTTTATATGCCTTCAATGTTTGTTTCTACTACAGCAAACCTGTGACATAAAATTTCTGTCAATGAGTAAGAGGTATCAGCTGATCAGTGCCTTTCCACTTTTGGTTTCTATTTGCATTTTATAATATTAATAATCAAGCAGTTCATATTTTGTTTTAAATACGTTACAAACATCCAACAGTCTGACATGACTGAAGTCAAGACAGAAAAAGACATTTGGTTTTATGGTGATTAAAAGCATAAAATATATCAAATGTAACTTGGAAATAAATCAGGCTGGCAATGCGGACAAGCAAGATATCCTGTAAGTTATGAAATATTCCTGTTGCCTTCAGCTGTCCTACTTATTCATGGTATTAACAAATTTCAAGTTGAAAAGAACAAAATGTTATACGCAATTATAATAGACCATGACCTCATACTACATACAAAAGCAACGTAAAAATCATAATCAAACATGTACAGTCATGGATGTACATACACCACTATGGGAAAACTGAAAATGTATATACAATTACTTCACTTAAATTAAGTGTTAAAGAATAATTAAATTTAGCATCCTACACTCTGGTACGTTCCTGATTTTTACCTGTCTACTATCTCCTCATGAAAATCTAATACAATTATTTTAAAATTACCACAAAGCAACAGAGCTATAGAAATTCACTATTAAAATATTCTGAAATTTGCATAGTTTACCATCTTACAGTAACATACAAAAACCCACAAGAAGAAAACGCTTCTTCAACGAACAGTTACCTGCAATATCACAATGACATGTGCAAAATGTATTTTACTGTACCTGCTACTGAGAAAAGATAAATAAATTCATTTTCTTCACTGCAGTAAACATCACCAGACACTGGACCCTTCTCACATAAACACCAATGATTCCACATACTTCACTTCTGTAGCTACCAAAACAATGAACTGTAAAAATGTTGGACACATTTTGATGCAGACACAATTTGTTACATGTATTATTTTCAGAATGTTTCAAGAAACACTACCTGATGCTCACAGTTTAATTCACAGTGAGTTATAATATCTCCTGCAAATGTTTAAGCTACAAAGCCCATAACAACAGACTGCAATAACCCCTTACTTGGTTCATGTTTATCTGCATCAGATGTCTAACAACTCTTCTTTAGGTGAGGTAAAATGTCTTTATTGACAACAGTAAAAAATAAAAAGTAAAGCTGTCCCACTACACACCATGCAGGCGCTTGGGGAGGGGAGAGGAAGTATAGCTCCTACCCATACTTAACCTTGGCACTAGATAGGGTTGAGTGGTCAGTGTCATGCCCCAGCCATGCTTTACCCCTGGGAAAGAAACCCAGTACCCGCTGGATAGGAGACTGGGTGGGCCCAAGAGTTAGCCTGGATGCAGAGGCTAGAGGAAAAATCTTCTGCCAGTAAAAGATTTTGAAATTTTGGATACAACTGTGTGATAAAATTACAGCATAAATCAGTAGCATGCCAATGGTTTATTGTCTGAATGTTGCACTCACCAAGCTTCATGATCATGAGTCATGTGTTCATGTTTCCAAAATACATTAAATAAACTACTTAAAATGAGACTAAGATGTTCCTTTGATCATGAAAACAATTTCAATTTACTACTACTGCTACTACCACTGCTGCTGCTGCTGCTGCTACTACTATATCTTAATGGAGACATTAACAATACACCAATCCTCAATTTTTTCTGATTCAGTAACAACTATCGGAAACTTATCTGATACAAGAAGATGTGCTAAATTATTTGATCGTCCTCAGACAACTAAACACGAAATCTTACTTTAAGGAATTTCACAATATTTCCAAAATAATTGTAAGAATCACATAATAAAATATTCGGAAGACGATACACATGCATATGAAAATATGTAAGTTCTGAACCAATTTGCAGGAGATATTACATTCAAAATCAATGAAATGTGGACACCAGTGTTTGCAACTTTCAGCACTGTCGGAATGCTTGGAATCTGATCATAAAAGGCATTCAGATCCATGTCCAATTTAAACATTCTTTCTTTTGCACTGGGCTCCTTGAGCCTTCTATATCAGGAATCCACATTCTGTCTAACAAGTTTTATTCAAACGCATATTAAATGCATGATATTCCCCTCTGTGAAGTAGCAAACTTACCCTAACATTACAAAACATGTCCTAAACCTTCACAAATACAGTAATTCTGGAATTGGTCAACTGTGGAACAGATATCTCACATACAAATGTGCATTAAAAAGACAAAAGAAAACCATGTATATATACACACACACATTGGAATTTCTTAAATTTTAAAAATTTTCCTTCCAGCATTTAATGTTCAACAATTCAGAGATTAACAGTGAACTCGAAGAATAAAACTTCTTTAAGTTCTGCATAAATATTTTACATAACACGTATCCCACAATTTTTCCACAGACTGGCATTGGGAAACTTACCGTCTCAATAAACGTTGATGAATATATTTTGAGAATAAATGTATAAGCAGAAATAAATATGTAAAATAAAAAAAACTGCATTATAATGCTTACACTCGAGCAATGAAGACAGCTAAATGCACACTGTACTGAGATTTAAATATTTTTAAAATTCTTCCACCAAGTTAAAGTTCTGTACCTGCTATCAATCAAGCCAGGATCAAGTAAAACACAGAATAAAAAATGTTATTTTATACTGGCATTTCAAGACCATCAATCCACACTAATGAAGGCATATCATATACTTTACATCAATTTGGATATCCAAATGTTTTTACAATGTTAATACTTGTGTTTTTTGGGGGAATAAATATTCACATAAAAAGTTTGTTACTTGTGAAAAGTGATCTCACATTTAAACAAAATTAAAGAATGCCAAAAATATAAGCCACAAAATTGAGTTCTGTTTGACAGATTGGCTCCATGCAGACTTGCATCAAATTATAATGAAAACAAATTTCAAAGACTGAACCATTACATCATCTACAGAAAGTCATTTAATATATAACTTGTCATGTCTATCATTAAAAACACCAGTTCAAGAATGGTTTCATGGTGAAACCATCTAAAATGAAAGGAAAAAAGTCTTACATTATAATATTATGATCAATACAGCAATATGAGCACTCTTTAGTGGGAAACTAAAAATCTATAATGATACAGCCTTTCATTAGTTGGTATGCATGTACATTTAGAAATGCAGCAACTACACAGAACATATTTCCATAATTTTTAAAACTCCCAGATACTTTGCTGCTGGCTGCCACAGCATGACAAACATTTCTCTGACCTCAATCACAACCATGGCAGCGACACTAAGGTACGAACACTCATTCAATTATCAGTTCACACTGTTTACAATTTAATTTTGGAACAAGTTGCCACTTAAATTAGAAGTGATTACTGTTTACAGTTTCATATACATCACATTTCATGTTCTTATATTACTTAACTTTTCTTCATTTACATAATGCAAAGAAAGTATCTTTTCAACATTCATTCATAAAAACCCAGCTGGGAACACAGCAATAAAATAAAAAAATAGGACCACCTTCTAAAAAACAATCCACTTCGTCTTCACTATGTGAATCGCAAGTAATCTACTTCAAGTAGTCAGTGGTTTTACTGCACAATAACAGGAAACTTCAGAATTGTTTTCCCCAAGACACTGAATTAAACATTTGGAAGGAGGGACTACTGTTGCTTTTCTTCAAGATAAAGAATGCTTCTATGTTTCTATCAGCTATTCTTAATGCTGTGCCTGTATCTCTTGTGACAGGAATTTGGGGCTGATTAACAGTTTAATGGAAACATTTCTATGGCGTTTCTTCACTACGTTTTATTTCAACTTGACACTATCATCACTTTTTTACTGTTTTTCCTTTTCAATATGTACTGCAAACAAATGATCTATAAGAAATACTAATAATTAAAAAATATGTATAATCTTTGACTAGTACTCAGCCTCAAAGTCAACACAATCACTAGTGATAAATCTTATATTGCAAAAATTAAATTTATTTTAAATACTATTATAATATATAGTTTGTAAACTGAAACTATGAGGAACACTAACCAGGACAATAATCTTCAGAAATAAACTAAACATATGTTCCTAAATATAAGATATGCACTTGACTGAAATGTTACCAAAGTGTCAAAAGTCACATATGTGTGACATTTTCTGCATACACATTTGTTGCAATATTTGTTAGCATCTCAAATGCTAGATTGATTACACCCACCACACCAAGAAAAAGCAAAGGAAATGCTTAGTTCAATTTGCATGGCTAATGAGAATATTACAGTCTACTGCAAATTACACAAGCATTTCTGTTGTAGTAACAAAATTCCATAACTTCATCAGCATTCTGAATGCTACTGGAACAGAAATGGAAGCTTGTTTATTTCTCTATATGGCAATTGGTCCAAAATTCTAATTCAACCACAATTAGAGATAAACAGATCTTGACATAACTTCAAAAATCAAATCACTGAAAGATAAAACATTTCATTATGAACATGCAATAAAATTCAGTTCCAATGTTACAAATGACTCTCTGAAACCTTGTACACTATCATTACAATGAAATTATGTGATATGCTTTTCACGTGAACATTTTCAGAGTAAAAATAGCTCGGCATGGACACATAGTTTTGTGTATAAGTCAATACTGCAGTTCTCTAATGCAATTATTGCAGCCTAAGAGAAAAAGTGCTTTACATGCCTTACTGCAACACAGAAAAAGTTGGAACACCTTTCAATGTACAACTCTTAAAATAGTTCCAGAGACTTAATTTCTACCAATACTTGAAAAAAAACCTTATATGGTAACAAAAGTTACCAGTTTCAGATAAGAATTGCAAATCATCACTCTGAAGATGGCAGCAGTTACACACTTCTGAAACAACAGTCAATTTCTACACAACTAAACAGTGCAACATCCCAGAAGACAGTCAATGATAACAATGATCAAACAGCCCAATTTATCAATATAATGCATCTATAAATGTAAATATTAGGTATGGCTTGATTTAACCTTCACCATCTGTGCGACATCGCTTATGCACAGTCTAGATGAATGTGTTGCAGTAGCGCCCCATTAAACTGATAAAGCTCCTGGAGTTAAAGTCTTTCCAGCAGCCCCATTATAAGGGGACTTAAATCCCCTAAACCCATACAATAATGGTGATCCACAACAATGACTAAAACTCTGGATCCCCTCATGAAGAGACTAATTAACTAAAGGGAAGAAATTACTTACAGAATATAACAATGATACACAATGTTATGGACTGATTACTAATAAGTGTCATAATCATCCCTAAAAACTTACTTGAACATGTAAATGATCTGTATGAAACAAGAACACAGACTACTGAAAAAAAGGAAGGTTCATATAGAAATATATGCCACAAATTAAATGAGCTGTTACTGTCCTTGGTTCAAATAATACTGCAATAGATTATCATTATGATAGGTTACAGGGGTAGGGCAAGGTTAGCACAAATAATTTATAAATAAAATGTGTACATTAGTGTAAGACTTAAAGTATGTTGTCTTTGTGAAATTATTTCAACAGCATATCAGGCAAAAGGGTTTGTCACAGTAAAATCTTGTGAGTCAACCGTACTTTTATAGAAATTTCAATGTGTATTGTAAGATCAAAAAGTACTTAATGCACTTCATACATTTAGCTTAGTAAGTGATAAACAAAATATTAAACTGATTTTGTAAGCAGCCAGCAAGTCTAGCCAGATTTTATTTCACTTATAATAGATTTTTTTTTTTACTGGAATTTGGCCAGTTTGGGGGGACGCAGCACAGTTCTATACTCACTCTGGTGGCAGGAGCAGGTACTGTATTTTCTCTTCTGAGGTTGGAAACTGCTTTGGAGCCTAGAGTGCTCACACAAAGGCTCAATGACAGAGAAGGCTAATATCCTGAACCAGGCTTCATTAAGGGAGATACTGACGAATCAAGTAGTGATTAGATGGTGCCCTACTGCTGCAACAAGATTCTTCATACCACGACAAAAAGATGAACTGGCTACAAGAATCCAACATGCAAAAATGGTGGGCAAACGTTTTCCACACATCTCAGCTTGCATTACTTGGGATCTTCATGCTTAGCAGGTGAAGAAATATTTTTTTCTAAATTTTCTTGTGAGTGTGCCTTTATTCTCACAATTTTGGCTTTATTATTACTTCCTCAATAACAAAGTTTGTTGGTTACTTGGTGGATCCTTGGATGACCCTTAACAGCCTACATGAAGCGCAAAAGAACAGTTATTTTTGCTTCTCGCATTTATCCTATGTTTTGGCTATTGCTCTGAAGGTGAGTTTTCTGTAAATTAATCTAAAGAAAACAGATCACTAAATTCAGTTATATTGCTATTCCAAATTTTGGATTAACAAGGTTTTACTTGGGCAACAAGTTTTGAATACATCCTTCAACAGTATGATACTGAATCATTATTTTCACCAGGTCAGGCAGGTATACATCCGTCACAAATCCTTACAATTTATGTGATGATGATACATGAGCAATGAAAGGTAGGAAAAGAAAGTATGATATACAATTGGGTCATTATTCTGAACAAGACATCATCTGAAACTTTAAAGGCAAATCAATTTTGAAGTTTTGCATTAATTCTATTAGAATTTAAGTTTCAAATATGATTCAATAATTCACTCTTGGTTTCCAGCAAGAAATCTTAAAAGCATATTTAAACCTGAAATCACTTCACTTATTACAGCAAAAAATATGTGAAATTATATCTTAAATTAGTAGCACCAGAACTTAATCCAGCATCCCATAAAATAGAAAAATATTATGTTTACCTCCCCTTCATACAAAATTAATAAATTATTCTGTGTTTTATTGGCCATAAACTCACACATAAACTAAAAGTATTTACTTACTTTGGAAAGTACTGCAAGAAACAAGGGCTTTTCCTCAGCACTTCTCTCATAATGAATGATTCCTAATGAGCCATGATGTTTTTCCAAAACATTTTGCACTATACTTACAATTTTGTTTCTGAAGCTATTTATAGTTCGTTGTCCATATAGATACTGACCTACCTTGACCTAATCAAGGAGAAAAACTCTGCACTTCAGAATCTATGCCTTCTCAATTTCTGAGCACTGGAGTAAAGAAATTCAAGTTCAGTACAGAAATCTGGTACTTCCCCAGATCAGCTAAACAACTAACAGATGTCAGTCAACAGAGGCATATGTGAGTCACACACACTGACACAACAAACAGCAAAATGCCTCTAATACATTTTAAGTTCATGGTGGTTAGATAAAAAAGTAAACTCTTCTGCATAAAACATTACACATTCTATGAAAAAGTTCAATATTAGTTTAAAATGTTTTATTTATGTGTGACCCCATCTTACGTCCCTTTCCTTCCTAAGACGTTTCAACGTTATGTGGGTTGCCTGACAACCAAGCCTCTCCATCTATCTCTGTCTTCTCAAAATTAATACTCTTCATTTATTTTCTTTCTTCCTTCCTTCTGTGTGACATCTTTCTTATCTGCTGTTCCCATCTTGCCCCCTGAGTGTTCTTCCACTTTCATGTCAGAGAACTATCTTTTCATTCATTCCAAAAACGTGTCTGCACACTCCTACCGTTATTTGTTAATCTGCTTCCTTGTTCTCTCATAGCAATCCAGCTGGCCATGCACTGAACTAGCAGACCATTAAACTGACGTTCAGTTGTTAAGTCTGGCCAGCAACCCTGAAATTTTTCTGCCGTAACAGATCATGACTACATCCTTCCAAATCCTGAACTACTCAGTATGTTTCCTTTACTACACATAAAAATCCTCTGCATTAAGGATGACTTTATAGACAGGAAACTGAATACTACACAGCGAAACTATAAATTAAGTATCATTCAGACTGCTACATTACCATGAAAATCTGATCCCACGAACCTTCCCTCTGTATTTTAGTACATATCATGTAATACATTCCTCTGAAACAATGGAAGTCATTTCCAGACCACACATCACTACCCAGAAGGGCACAACTGACATCTGCACCGCTACGAGAATCTTAAATCTCAGATAGTATGAATCACGTTTTCTTCAAATTCTGATGATTCATTTCACATCCTACTGTCTTACATAGCCCAAAATTGGAGACCAGTATTAACAGGTAAAAATATTGAACTAAACAAAATGTATTCATATGTGAATCATACATTTCTAATTATCTGGCAATGCTCAAACATAAACTTGAATCATTTATACGTATACAATCCGGTAATTTTACGTGCTTCATGCTTATCTTTAAACAAGCAAAACTGAAGTTTGTAGCTTACTACATACCTGAATCATACTTTCATTTCCATCTCTTACAGCCCTAATACATGAGCATGATAGAACTAATTCTGTGTATGGGGTACCGACACATAAATCTTATCAGAAAATGCATGCTTTGCCTATAAGACACATTTCTTCATTTGTCACTATTAAATATCTGAAATCTTACCAAGTACAAAAAAATTGTAATCGTTACTTCACTCTTCCCAGTAATTAAATTTAAATAACGTCTTATGATTATTCCTACTCATGTATCATGCAAAAGTTATGTGACTGTACAAAAACATGCTTGGTTTTGCACCTTCACTACCTAATGCATATGCCATTCAAACAGTATCACTTGGCTCTATTAATTACTTCCTGTTGATCAAGCCCTCTGAAATTAAATGATTATTCCAACCCTCTCCCTGAAATAAACACATTTTTATAAAATATAGCTAATAAGTATACGGTTATCAGAGTCATAATAGTTGCATACACCTTGGAATGTTATAGAATTCCAAATGGAATATAAGATATGGTTTAGTATGTGAAGAATATATAGCAATAAACATACACATTGCAATTCCTGCCTTTCAAGAATTTCATTAATTTATCATTAAAAGCTATATTCAAAAACCTTCAAAAGCTAGTGACAGAAAATTTCATAATTTTAAAGTTGATGTGGACTGAAACACAAAAGGTTGCATGTTCCTTTCCAACACAGAAGGTAAACAGTGGATGGGATCTGGATGCCATATTGTGTGCATGTAGGAAGAGGACGATACAGAGGAACTGTGAAGAACTAACAGTGGTGCAGCACTTTACCTTGTCATCAGGCCTAGGGCCTAGCATCACGTTACGTTTCAGCTTCACCTTTCGATTTCTCCTTCTAGGCATTAAACGATCCTCTGGAGGGGACCCTGGAGTAGGCCGGCCCAGTCGCAATCTAATAGGAATCCTTGTGGGTGGGGAATCCACATTCAATTCATGTTTGGATTCTACACATTAAAGAAGAAACAGTTCTAATATGAAATATACAACATGTGAAGGTTTAAAATAAAAGTCCAAATACTTGTACAGCTTATTATACAGAGAGAAAAATCATTGGTGTAATTCACATTAACGTACATTTTACTAATGCACGACCAAAACCCCACAAATGCTGTCCACATCATTTACCTTGGCACCTTAACGTGGAGGTTAAGAAGGATGACAGTACATTGCTCTGTATCTGCTCTGCCCATTACTCCCATCCAAAATAACATTTATGCATTGTGTGCACAGTGAACCTGTGTAACAGTGGTCTGAACACCAATGCTCAGAATGTTCATTTTTAATTAATGAATACCTGTTTATCCATCCAGTTACAGTAACAAAGTCAAAGCCAGTTCTTCTATGCAGTGCAAACAACAACAACAAAAATAGTACATACAATGAAATTTAATCAAATCCAACAAAAGCATTATGGTCTATCTTTACTGTAACAGAACATTTTGTCTTGTCTCTGCCATGGTGCTAGACAGATACAGAAACTGGCACCACTCCCTACATTACTGTTAATGACAAATGATAAATGCAGCATGCTGCTGATTCATGCTCATCAATAAGCTGTGTGCAGATGATCAATGCCTCCTCCAAACACTACTGCATCACAGCCACTTGCTGGACTGTAATATACTTGGCCAAGGGATGATCGAACTTTGTTTGCAATTTATGGACCTCACATCTTACTGAAAATTTCATAAGATAGTCCATTTAGAACCTTACAGACTTAAACAGTTAAATCAGCACAGTGACAAATTTTTATCTTTATATGTTTCTTGGGTGCAAAACTTTTAACAATACCACTTAAACATAACATATAAGCTCATACTAGCACAAATACAGACCTTTAGGAATTGTAACACTAATTGAGGCAACTCTTCTTTCTGTTACAGCTGGCCTTTTTAATACCAGGACACGCCGCACATCATTTTTCTCTGTAAAATAAGATTGTGCATGATAAAATCCTAAATTTCTTCAGTCCACTTCAGAGTTATTACCAAAAGCTCAATTGGTTAAATCAAGTGAACAGCATACAATATTACTAGGTTGCATACAAAGAATACAAAAGCTGAGAATTAGTGAAGGGAGGGGAACATTTCTGGACACTATTCTGTGGTAAAGGGCTCCACAACTACATTTTAATTTAAATCTATGTGAATTTTAATGAAGTCCATGCGCCCACACTCTTACCATATGCTTCATACAAATAACACAAAAGATATCTGTAACTTTATGTTAAATGAAGAAGGAACAAAAGCAATAAATTTGCTTCCTGTATCTTACAGGATACCAGGTATTTCTTAAGTTCTAGTACTTTGCTCAAAATCCAGATAACTGGCCCTCATTAAACTAAAATAGCTAATTTCAGCTACAATCACTACTGTAATTATTTTATAACTTGCCTTTCTTTGATTCTGTCCTTTTGCCACCAATTGACTTGTCCTCTCTTTCAATACGTTTAATGCCTTTCCTGAAATCAATCAGAATAAGCTTCTGAAAGGAAATCTCTTACATTTCATAACAAAAAATGTTACTTTGATGGACAGTTAGCTGAACGACACATAACAAGTGTTCAATAGCCATGAGGTTAAATTAAATTTGACTTTCAAAACACAAGTTAATTTTACCACTGAAAATTTAACAGAACGTCTCAGTTGTTACAAAATAAATTATACTGTTATTTTTGAAGATTTCTGTCTTCTGGGCTGTTGCGCTGTGTAGACTGGTGGATGTTAACCAACATTATTTATTGTATCACCTTCTCGGCAAAGTGTCAAAATTATCATATAAATACAAAAGAGTTTTCTGCTTTATCATAGCATGTTAATTTTCCCAGCAATACTACAATGCTTAAAAACAGATATCAAAACCATCAAATTTTGTTTGAATATTTTCACTTCTCCGCAAGAAGTGTTCCACAACTTCTAATATTACAAACATGAACCTTTAAAGTTCCAACTGCTGTTTAATAAAGCTAGGAAACTTAAGGGTTAATTACAACACTAAGCTTTTAACAATTAATGATTATAAATGTATTGTTTATCTTTCTTCTACTATAAAATTCACACAAGATTATAGATACAGGTCACACGAGTAGTCATGACACCTAAATGTGCGATGTGTAAGCCAAGAGAGTGGAGTTCAGTAATAGTAGTAGTGGGGGTCACACAGCCTCAGCTGCGGTGATGCACCGATCTAAACACAGCTAGAGCTACAAACCAACTAAAGCTGACACCTCTCTAGTGCGTGCTTCAAACAGGCAAGCTGACACCTCTCTAGTGCGTGCTTCGGACAGGCCCATCTCATACGACCAAAGTCAGTCCTTTGTGCAAGTGCCAGCACTTCTCGCATGACCTATATATGCATCAATACATAACAAACTGTCTTAAATCTCATATTACTGAACCTTTCTAGAAAGAAGCACCTAGCAGTAACATTGGGAAACTAAATAATTTATGATGCACCCGGGCCTATTAAATGCCTATTGAAGAAACAAAAAATGTATTCATTGGGAAACTAAATAATTTATGATGCACCCAGGCCTATTAAATGTCTATTGAAGAAATAAAAAAATTTATTTTACAAAATTCAGTTCTTTAAAATTTCAACTTACTTTCCAACAACTCCTTCAAAGGCTGACTGGAGAAGTCTTGCTGGAAGACTCTCATGAAGAGATCCCGCCTAGAACAAACAAGATTCTTTCAATGCTTTGATGAAGTCCCAAGATCTATGTAGTACACTATACAGAGAGAAATTTCATTAACACACTTCACATTAAAATATACTTTATTACTCCTCAACCAAACCTCATGTTTTGGCCCTCCTTGTACTAGTGTTAAAAACAGAGAAGTCAGTAAATTATATGGACACCTGTTGAGACCTCACACTTGCAGCTACTAGCACTTAAACTTATGGTGAAGTACAGAAACTGGAAATTTCAACATATACCTAGAGTAACTTGTGACTCATAGCACAAAGGTTTATAGATGGACAGTGCTGCCATTCTCCAATACACTGTCTCAATTACATAACTGCTAAAGTACTTAAAGGTGTCATAAGAGATCATGGTTCAATTCTTGGTTTAAATGACAATTTTTACTTATTAAGAACACTTGACAAACTATTATAAAAGTTCTCTAGACGTGATAATATTGTCAGTACAGATCTCCACACAAAAAAGGTAATTTAAAACTTTTATAAGCCAGAAATGGTCCACCTTACTCTTAAAGAGATCATATAAGCTGACCTTTGTGAGCCTCTCAGCCCTCCTCCTGCTGAGCTCAGCACGGAGGTCTCCCTCCCTGCTTCTTGCTACCAACTCTTCTACAGCGTCATTATTTCCATCTCCTGTAGAATGCTTCAATTTAGAATCCACAGTATTAGAGTTGTTGGCTGCACCTTCTGCCTTGTTCTGTACTTCCTTCTCACACTGATGCTGTTTTCCTGTACCTTTCTTAATTTTTTGCTGTGAATCACCAACCTGGGATCTCACATTTTCCAAGCCTGTAAAAGGAATTGTGATCATTCATCTGTCTTTATTAGGTAATGCCTGTTCTATTCCACACATATACATAGAATTTCAACCTATTTACTCCAGCTTCATTCAAAATGTCCTTGATTTCTAGTCTGATCATCTTTCAACATTTCTAATTGTCTCCATTTGTCTTCTGTTCTATGCTTCATAGAAATTTCACTGTCACACCTGGAACTTTATTTATTTTTTCTTATCCTCTACCATTTTACAGCAAAGCCTAATAATGTAGACTAAGAAAGAATTGCCAGGCTGTTTCATACCCTCAGTCCCAGGTTACAGGCTTTCTATCTGACCTGAATCTTAGCTGGTCTCTGGGAATAACTAATGTTATATATGCATGAGACCTCCATACCAACATTCAAATATTCTTAATGAACAATATTATATTTACAATGTGATCTACAAATCTGTTAACACCAAGAACTTGTTCTAAAATGAAACAAAGGCCTGAAAATATGAACCTTTACTAATAGCATGGAAAATGTTATACAGTAAAACCTCTCTAACTTGGACACTTGCGGTTCCACGATAATGTGTCCAACTTACAGAGGTGCCCAGGATAGAGGGAAAGGTGAAAAATCATCCTTTCAAATTGTGGTGGAATGACAATGGGGTGATTGTAAAGTATGATGGAGCCCTTCCCAAAAAGTAAATTATTGATAAGAAGAATCAAAGGGGTAAATTAAATTTTTACAAATTTTGTTTTCACTAAATTAAACTTGCCTGGATAAGTTCAAAGGGAAGGGCACCAATACTTTACGTTTATCGACAATGTAATCTAGTTACTTACATAATCTAACTACTGTAGGCTTGCTCAAATTAAGAATTAATGACAATAATAATAATCTTTTGAAACCCACTCTCATGGTTGCACATTACACCCCAGCCTCACTGAAATTTTAAATGTTCAGAATGTATTTTTTTAATTGTACTTACAGCATTAGCTCAACATATGATGTCACTTATCTCTTGTAAAAAAGTGTCACAAGACACTGCTTTTTTGCTTTTATCTTTGAATTTGTCCATCCTCTTTCTAATTTTTGCCTCAATCCGAATAAAGCTTCAACTATTCCTGGTTGATTATGAGCGAAAGCATACCGTTCCCATTTGTTAACACTGTTTAACTCAGTTGCAAGCACAGTACTGACAAAGTTAAAACTGTACCAGCAATACGTACTGTAGTCCAGTGAAGGGTTCAACAAAAGAATAACTATCACTGCATTCCAATGATGTGTTCAATGTCTCACACCCTCAACCATAAGCAAATCCTCAGGTAGAAGGCATTCATCAGTCAGAAATTCAAAATAACAAAATACTAACTGCAGACGTTTCCCATAAAAGCAATGAAGCTAAATGCATGCATGCACCTGTCCAACTTACAACAAAAGGGGTGTCCAAGATATAGGGTATTGTGGACATGTAAAATTATAGGATATTCGCCGGTTCCAATTAAAAGTGTCCAATATAGAGGGGTGTCCAGGATATAGGGGTGTCCAACTTGAGGGGTTTTACTGTATATGTAACTATGTAATGAAGCACATTGCAAACTACTACTTCATTCTCCATGGAGTAATGGATCTCTCACCTTTTTTCATTTTAGCATCTTCATATACTTTATCTCCTGAACTAGTTTTTCTTGATGATGATTTTTTACGCTTTGTCAATACCTCTTCCTTACGTACAACCGGCTTAGTCTGACCAAGCGGTTTGGTAAATGGTACTTCAACCTGGAAAAATAATCACAAATTTGAATTGTAAAAACTGTTACCAATTTGACAATAATTCAGCTAACAAATTATATAATTAACACACACATGAGAAAAATGATGCCCAATTTGTGTAAATACCAAATTCTGAGATAAAAATGTAACACCCTCACTCATTTTGGTATTCAACAGATTAATAAAATGCATTACTATTGGCTCAGTACACTCGTACTCGCAGAACTTTCCCCGTCACACAAGCAACCGCTGCCTACTTTCATGGCTCGCGGACAATACTTTTCCAAGCTTGAGAAAGTTAATAATTACATAAATTGTATTCTACTGATGAACAATTCAAAACACTAATAAAAGTAATAAAAACAATTATGATGTACCAATTCACTACAGACTTGTAGCCAGGAGGTACCCGGTTCAAATCTTGGCCCTGTTACTGGCTATCTCAACTGAGATTTCTTGTGGATTTCCGCAGTCTCTCTATAGGTAAATGATAGACCACGACCATTTCTATCCAAAATGTTACATACTGACCATTCATGATTATCTATTCCATACATCACTGCATAACGTCTACAGTTTAAACAGCAACATTATATAACATAAAACATTAGCATTAGTATTACCTTTTCACTTTCAGCTACTTGAATTCGTGCACTCGACTTGAATCGTGCTTCATTGTCTGAGTCACTTTCCTCACTTGACCACAGATCTGCACTCTGAAGTTCAAGGTAAGGTTCATCAATGTCTTCTCCAGTTTCTAATGGTGCAGAATCATCTAGTGTCATAATTGCTGTTACTGCCTCTTTGTCGTTCACTTCCGGCATATGTTTCGGTGGAGTCTGGCGAGTCATCTTTCTATCCTGCTCTTTCTGCAGTTGCATCTGCTGCTGTGGCTGTGTTGTTCTTAAGCATATCTTTTTACCATCAGGTTTCACTGGGCCTGCCGATTCAAACTTTCGCCTTCGAGCTTCTAAAACTGCCACATTTGAACCACTAACCAAAGTATCACTTATCTGAACACTGTTCTTTACAGCCGAGGAATCTAACACTGGATTACTCTCTCCTGCTACACTTCGTAATTCTTCCTTTGATTTTTCATCTGAATCTTTCTTGGTATATTCCTTGCTCCTATCCCTCTTTCTTCTTGGTTCTTTCCGCTTACTTGACCTGGTTTTCAATGGCTTCTTCCCAGGTACTGGGACAGGAGATGGCAGATTTCGTAGTCTAACATTATTTCCTTCCTTGGAACTTTGAAGACCAGCAACTGCATGGTTCCTGTACTCTGCTACATGCAGTCGTAATGGGGATTTATACCGATGAATGTTGTTTATGGTCCCTCGCTCTGGAGATGGGCTAAGACTAATGCTTGATGTATGACTGTGACTCCTGTGAAGTGGAGACCGGGAATGTCTGGGACTGTGACCACGATGTATGTTAGGGTCAGGATGTAAGTGTGGTAGCAATGGTGGAGACTGCGACCTTGTATGGATGTTGTTTAATCTTGATTCCTGTGAAGGTCTATGCAAATCCCTTACAGGGGACCAATGAGTTCTCGGAGGCAGCCTGCTAACAGCTGGTATTCTATTTGGGGAATTTGACTGCCTTCTCTGCCTTCTGTATGGAGATGGTGACCGCTGTTTGCCACTGGGAGAAGCTGAATATCTCCGAACAGCAGGGGAAGTTCTCTGATTGAGAGGTTGTCTACGTGGTGACCAAGGAGATAATTTTCGGATAGATGGAGAATGTTTGGGTGCCAGTCTATTGTATGGAGAATGAGAGAGACGTCTTCGCACAGAGGGTGATCGCGACACCCGTCGTTTTGGAGTGAGAGGTGACCCATGATGTAAAGGTCTGCTACCTGGAGGTGACTTGCCTCTAGATATAAATCTTGTAGGACTGCGAGACAATGAACGAGAATAACGTCCTCTAGGTGGAGAAGGATTTCTCCGAAGTGGAGAATATCTTCGTGGTGGGGAGGGGTTCCTTCGTGCTGGGGAAGGAGACATCTTTCTTCTTAAAGGTGTAAGAGGCCTACGAGGAGAAACTGAACTCCTAGCTCTAGGTGATATTAGACGTTTTGGAGGAGGTGACAGCGATGATCTTCTCAAGCGTGGTGACAATGACCTATGTGGAGAGGCCCACCATTTTGATTCAGGAGATCTATGTGGTGACATACGATTTAACCAAGATGGAGACTGCCTTGGTGATATGGGTCTTCTAGGCCTGGGAGATTGCCTCTGAGTTGAGAATCTAGAAGCATGATTACTGATGGGTTTATGCCATGGTTGGGGAGATCTCGAGTATCTCTTTCTTGGAGATTTAAGAGGCCTCATGGGAGACCTAGACCTTGATCTTGAAAGATAAACTGGTGATCTGGAGTATCGACTTCTTGGACTTCGGTTTCTCACAGGAGAGTAACTAAACCTGCTCCTTGGAGACCGAGATCCACATCGTCTACCCTTAGGTAAGGATGTACTGCAGCTGTGGGGTGATATTGATCTTGATCTTGACTTTCTACTGGAAATGGGTGATAACTGCTTTCGTAACATAGCAACAGGTTTTGGGGATGTATGAGACTTCTGAGGGATGCTACCAGACTTAGCATTTCTGTCTCGTTCATGTAAAATATTGTCTTTATATTGAATTGAAATGGATGAAGAAGACACGTTGATTTGTGACGCAGAAGCTGACATATCCTTTGTACATTCTAAAGAGCCACTGTGTGAAGATTGTTTTGTCTTTTGGTTACTGGAGTTTGATAAAACAGGTACTACTTCTGAAGTAGAAACACCTCCCTGACTCTTGTGACTTTTTATAGTATCACAGATATTACGTTTTGTTTTGGCTGCTAAAGTTTTCTTTTGTTTCTGTTGATCTGAACTTGATTTTACATTACTATTCATATGTACATTTGCGTCACTCCTATTCATTTCCTGTTCAAGCTCATTCATCAGCTTTTCTAAACTGTCTTCTTCATCATCAACAGCCACCATCAGCACATCAGGATCATTGTCCAGCTCAGCAGTAACACCTGAACCTAGAGACACTTTATCACTGGTTCCATTTTCATCCTCACTTTCATCTGCTGAAGAATGTGAGTTGGAGTCTTCATATCTGCTAAATTTTGTAGACACTGGAACAATTTTAACAACAAATTAGTATTATAATCTAGGTGATAATTCAATTCAAAGTGCTTCACATTTCCCATGTGAAGACATAAAATGCAAGTTTCATAGTACACATATTACAAGACAATGTTAACTATAATTTAATCTTGTATCATTAACATTGGTCCTTTCTACTGCAGATTTACTTTAATGATAATTTTTAGGTCCTTCCTAGAAGTGTGAGTTACTCAGTTGGCCAAGAAATTCCAAACTTCAAATTTATTACTGTCTTCACAAAAAGATCCTATTTCTTTATGAGCCTTGTGAATATTATTCCCCCATCTATGCCTAGGTTTTTCAAACAGTCCCATGCCTTTAGGATTTCTAAGAAAATTTTTGAATGCACTTCTACTCACTTCCCTATGCATGCCACATGTCCTTATTGGGCAATATTGGCAATTATTCACATAAATGGATTATTAGTTGCATAACAGTAATTTACAGTTCTTGCTAGCATCACAATGTATCAGTTGGCATTTATTTGCTTGCTTCTGGCTTATTTCACAAAACTGTAATAGTTCAGACTATATAGCATATAATGGCAGGATAATTAGCCAAGACAAATGATGAACTGAAAAGAATTTGGCCTAACTTAAGGCATGGAGACTAAATCCAATAAAATGCATCATTACTCAGTTTCAGCCAGCCAGTCAGTTAAGATTCATGTTAGTCATTAGTTAACTAAGGCACTAGCAGACAAAAGAGTTTGTGTAGGCTTGAGGGGAGGAGGCAGTGCATGGCATTCCAAGCAAAGATGTTGGCCAAGCCTTGACTGTGAACATACACTTTGCTCATGTGTTCAAATTCCACTTTTAATTGCACAACCATTGTTATAAGTATGTGCTATGTTGTGACTTGTAAATGTGGATAATGGAAGACAAAGTATGACGTGAACTGCCAACATTTTCACAACCCTCCATCCCATCAAGGAGTTTAGCTAACAATTTTTAAAGTCACACTCCACCATTGCTATAAATACTTACCCACTGGACCACCCCCTTTATTTTCCTGATCAGTCTCCACTTTACAGTATCGATGTTGTGGCAACTCTAGCTTAGGACCAGTGCTTGTGGCTACTAACATGGCCCTTTCTGTCTTCTGATTGGGAGAAGTATCACTTCTGGGAGAAGGTTCATTACTCATGGGCACAATTGCAATCAAATTTGAGTTCAATCGATGTCTCTGAAATACTGGCTGTATGAAAAAAGGAACAAATGAAGTGAGTACATGTAAACAGAAATAGGGATTACAAATATGCTTCCCATCAAATTCAAAATAAGTCTGTTGCACAGTTCTTTCTTTGTCTTTCCTCACTAATGACACAATAAATCTACTCCAAAGTAACAAAATACTAAAAAGACTTTGTACACAACAGGCATTAGTCATAAAGCATATTATACATTCATAACACTACATGTCAGTCAATAATTCAACAGACTGCACTAATACAGACTACTACCAGTGTCTGTCCTAATCTCAACTTTTATTTTCATTAACCACATTTCCTGGTTATTGCTGCCTTAAAAGTCTGCTTGTATCTTATATACTGAAAGTACATTATTCTCGCTTATATGTGTATTCAAAAACACAATTCAATTTCAATGTGCTCATCTAAATTAGACACAATTCAATTGAAAGCACTCACTTCAATGTGAACTGTTTGCTGGACAACTGAGTGAGGTGGGAGGAGGATCAATAGAGTACTGTACGGGTAGCTGAGGAGAAATGCAAGAGGAGATGGGGATTTATAACTTTTTATTTACACAATTTCAACCTCAGCAACACAACTGTCACATAAACTGAGGAGTACCTATACAGTATATTTTCTCTGAAACTCCTTCTGAAAGTTGGGTGCATCTTCTAAACTAAAAAATATGGTACCATAATTACTTTATCATTTATCTGAGCACCAAAGCAGACAATGTATAAGAGAAAGAAGTCCAAATATTAGCAATTGATCTTTACAACGGCCACACGCTGTTTTCCTTGTTGCAGGGACCAATTGCCATAATGTCAGGCCAAAGTGTATTCTGCTGAAGATCTTTGGAATGATGACAAATTGTATCCTTTGCGGTACATATTGAATTTTCTAGCTCCCATGATGTTAGACCAATATCTATGGTGCCATGATGTGGTCCTATCACAGCCATTAGTTATGATATAAATAATTCTTTTCAAATTTTGTGTACTCTATACATCACAACTTTTCAATCTTGTATTTTGTTGGGGAACAGAGAAAAAAGGGGATAAACAGACAAATATAAAAGAGGGTTCCAGTAATACAACAAACCAAGCAGCCACTTGCAAAATTCACTCCCTCACTGTTTCGCAGTATCCTGCACACTGGTCTCCACTCGTTTGTCAGTACAGACTGGATAACCATACTTCTGCAGCTTTGGTACAAGGTACCATATAAGTGAAGATTAAGGCACATTACTGCCCTTTGCAAAACATTTTTTGTCCATCTACCCAACCACTTACGTTTCTTCCTAGTCGTGAGCGTACCATTCCTCCCCTATACACCCTACCAGGACCAGGACCAGGAACAGGAATCTGTTGTGGCAGGTGCAATGTGTTGTTGACACTGCTTGAACTATTTGCAGCTGGCTTATTACTTCCTAGTGTCTGTAATGCGGCTCGGCGAAGTGCCTCCAAGTCTTCTTCTTCATCATCGTCATCAGATTTATTTAACTACAGATGAACAAACTCAATCAGAAAAAAAAACTACAAACACTTCTACAGAATTCCTTTGCATACAAAACATGCAGATGTTATATGTATTTCCTTAGACCTATAGAAACAGAACAACAATTTTCTGGAAGCACTACATACCAACGTCCTTCAATTAAATGTTTTGGTTAACAAACACCACTACAGCACCATGATTTTCCCAACACTAATACTGATGATACAATACTAGCCTAAGACTAGGTAAAATGAGAACATAACTCACATAGAGTACTTCAAATTCACAACTGCTACACCAATTATATCCAGTCTTACTTAACAAATATTTTAAACAACCAATCTGTCTTCGGTCTTGGAAAAAGCAATACATGAAATCACACCTTCCTTCATCGAGATTTTAAATGTTACATAAGCATGGAGTTAAATTAATGCAAATGCCCAAAAAACAAGTCATACTTTTCAGTTCACGGAATTATCAGCTTTAAAAATAAAGAAAAGTAACTCTCACTTAATTTTACAAAGTCCTTCTTCCAACGTAAACAATTCTGTCGAAGGATGTCTAATTAGGAGTCATTTATAACATACAGACACCTTTCAAATACACTGCCACTCTAACACAACAATTACGCATCAATAATAATAAATCAGTTTTCACTGCCATAATAGGACACCTATGCTTCAAACTCAGTCCATTAAGATTCATAGTAATTAAATTGCTGCACACAAAAAAATATGTTCAGTGAAATAGTTACAAAGAGAATATTGTACATATGTTTATTTTTTATATTTTATTTACTAAACTAAACAGCATAAACATAACACTCACCTTCTCAAACAACGCCATTTTACTTTCCTGTTCTATAACAACTCCTTCCGCAACAGTCATGGCTGACCATGGCCTACTGCATTCGGCTACAAGCAGTAAACAGTTTGGAACCTGAACTATACACAGAAGGCAAAACTACACACTGTGACATCCCAGGAAGCTACATTAAGAATAGAAGAGTTCGTCTACTTACTGAAAGCCGCTCCCTCACTTTTGCTACCACCAGATAATGATCAGTGTCGCAATCTGCTCCTCTGAATGATCTCACATCAATTACATTTGTCTGCCTTCTCTTATCTACTAAACGATATGCTACACACATTTTATAAAACTAGCGCAAAGCGCTCCTTTCGTTGATATTTAATATTTCGTTTTTCAGTGTATTGTTTTTGATATAAATACGTCTATACGGAAGGGTCATTCGGCAAAAAATTGACAGTGGAACCACGGTTCCGGAGAATCTGACGTAAATACGTCTCTGTATTTAAATTATATTTAAGCAATAAATACAATGAAAGGAAGGTTTCTGAATGTAATGTAATGTAAGGAAATGTAATGTCAAAATTATCTAGTCTACTACGCACTTCTTCTACAAGCGATTCACAGCTCAGCTCTTTCCGCAATAACGAAAGCGGATTGTTGACGGCAGTAATGTAACACAACAGAGTAGAGTAGAGTTTATTTACATTCCATAGATCCTTCTTAGGACTCAACCAAAGGATGTAGAACATGTCATTTCATACAATATACATACACTTCAGAACTTTCAACACAAGTACAAGAACGTATTTCACATATCAATGTACATAAATTTCAGATTCTGCAATACAAGTATGAAAAATAATTTTACAAATTAATATACATAAACCTCAGAATTTTAAATATAAATACAAAACTTGCTTTACATATACGTAGATTATGGATATAAAGCTTAAACATTTTCAGCAGAGATGAAATCATCTACAGAATAGAAGGAGTGAGTAAAGAGGTAATCTTTCAATGCAGGCTTGAATACCTTTATATCATAATTTAGACTTTTAATTGTTGGTGGAAGATTATTAAACAACTACAGATAAATGTGAAACTACGTACTATGAGACTGGAATCCCGACCTGCGAGACAATGTCCACACCAAATTTCAAAAAAATTAATTGTCTTCCTCTAGTTCTGAAAAACAGGGCAACTATTAAGAGACAAAGTAGGGTTAAGTTAGCGTATTCCGAGTTAATGATCATGTATTCATAGTAGATACTTATGGCACAACGTCCATACATTTCATTAAATTCCACCCAGTCGTTCCCTAGTTATTAAACACGTGCAGACAGGTATCACCTGTGAAGATGCATTGTCTCTTTCGAGGCTCGTAATGCGCAATGATAATTAGGGCGCCATAATTTTAACTTTTGATTTTCGATATCAGTCGAGACGGATTTATAGCGTGTTATTTTGAAAACGTGAGATTTAAATGGCACATCTATACCACATTTTATTATATTCTTTTCCGCAATTCTTTGGATATTACCTGTGTAAAAGAAAGGTTAGGTTAAATTGGGTTAGGGAATTAAATCGCATGCGCAGATGATCATGGTTAATGGTACCATGACCACCATCACTATCCAACCTTGAGACTTTGGACATATTTTGATGGGATAGTCAGGCCTCACATATGTCCAGTATATATACATTTTTGTTTGTATTTATTAAGTTTGATTGGAACCCTATTACATTATAAATAGAAATGAGTCTATAGTTCCATCTTAGTTTTTGTTATAAATGTAAATTCATAGTGAGATAAGATTAATATTAACATGTTTATACAGAAGATAAGTCAGAAACTTCTGCATAACCTGCAATGAAATCAGGTTGGGCTGCTTTATATGATGACTTGGGAATTTATTATGAAAAAGGTATACATTTCAGTTTGCTATATTATACTGTATTACAAAATATTAAGATAAACCCCTTTATTAGCGTGAAGAGATCAAAAGACAACACACCTCACCTCCAACCAACTCTTAACTGTTTGTCCCAATATTCAATCCAAAAATCTTCTTAAGAATAAAAGGAGTCTGTTGAAAGAGCATTTTTATTAAGTATTGTAAAATTCTGAATAATGTTATAAAAGAGGTGAAAAAACAGCATTACAGTAAACTTATAGCAAAATAACACAATAAAATAAAAACAACTTGGAACATAATAAAAAGGGAGACAGGAAAAATACACTTAACAGAACAGATGCCATCTCTTCTAATAAACAATGAGAAAGTAAAGGATCCTGGAACAGTGGCTAATGCCTTAAGTTTTTCCTAACAATTACTGAATGCTTAAATTTAAATCAAACAGTGGCAGATGATGCTGTTTCATTTTAGAAGCTGCATTCCCTTTAAGATTTTCTAGCCTTAATATGATTCCAACCACTGAAACTGAGGTGAAAAGTGTAACACAGTCCCTCAAATCAAAAAACTCATCAGGTTATGATGGAATAACAAGTAAAATTTTGAAAGCTTGTTCAGCTTTAATTAGTCGTCCATTAACCCACATTTGTAATCACTCATTATACATAGGCATTTTCCCGGACCGCCTTAAAATATCAGTAGTACGACAGCTGTACAAGAAAGGTGACAAAACCAGTATGACAAATTACTGGCCAATAATCTAATAATTTTCTTTTGTAAAGTGAATATCTTTTTACTGTTAGCAGTTAAACAGAAATCATCTTTTTATTAGAAATTATGTCACTTGTGTCATCAGCAAATATTATGTGTTCTGTTAAAGTATTTATTGTTGGAGGAAGGTCATTTATGTATATTATAAAAAGCAATGGCCATAAAATTGACCCTTGGGGAACTCCATGTTTTATTGTTCCCCAGTTTGAGAAAAATTTTTGTTCAGTATTGCCATTTCTCATTTAATTACACATTATATCTTTGTAGTCAATGTTGAAGGAGCAGCCCACTACTCGTACATCTGCCTGAAAATTAAATTAACCAAATAATTACACTGACCTGATGTAAAATAAATTATTAGCTGATATGAGGTTCATATGATTACTATAATGTCAAAATTAAAATAAAACTGATTCTGAAGGGTTATGATGATGGTGTAATACACTCTCGATTGTTGGGATTTTGGACCTTGTTCATTGTCTGATGTTATAAAACACACGTTTCTAGAGCTGTATAGGTCCTCATCTTCAGGTATAGAATGACCTAATCCTATTCACTGGTCCAGTGATTTAGATTAGCTCATTCTAATGGACCCTACATAGTAGGTGCAACCTTTACTACACCTGAAGACAAGGACACATCCAGTTTTACGAATGTTGTGGGTTTTTTAACATCAGATAATGGACCAAACAATCCAGATCAAAATGTTTTCTAACATTTATTATGGAGCTCATAAAATTACAGGATGACAAAATTGCAGAAAATACTTTCAAAGAAACAAAAATCATTAATGAATGGATTATTATTATTATTTCATTTCTCAAGTGAATAACAGTCTTCAGTCATAGCATTACAGCGTAAATGTCCCTGTCAAGGATCAAACCCCACTTGTCCAGTCTATAGTCAGTCACTGTACTGAATGAGCTACCCCAGCTCTAATATCCTACAAGTGGTTATAACAAAATGATAGATGAGGGAAGTAGTGAGACAGTGCTGTGATCTGGGAACTATCAAATAAGACAGAATTAATACCTTTAATGTTGCATGTTGCAAAGTGTGTGTGAGGATATTATGTGTATTCCAGTAATGACAACACTTTCTGAGCTTGTTAAAGTCGACTATGGAGGGTTCACAAGTCAAAGCATACTTACAATGTACACTCATAGTCATTGAGCAACTTCTCTTCTTTTTCTGTAGCCCCTCTTTTCTCGATCCGCAACTTTCTTAAAATTCTTGACCTTGCATAATCAGTAACATCAACAAGTGCTTCTTTGTCAAGAAGTGATATCTAAAAACATAAAATCTTCATTTACGTTTTTAAACAATGTATAGCAAGAGTAATAATTAATTATCCTACTGTGAAACACAAATTAAATATTGACCAGAAGAATTCCCATTAACTATACCTTGAATGTTATTTCCTTCATTCAAGGTACCATTCCACAGAAATTTACTCCAATCTGACACCATTTCATACCAGCTTTCTATGTTAAACTTACTCCTCAGATGTTTAGCTGAACATCACCACCCCTTTTTCATATTGTATGTTCTACTTGCAAATGACTAAACCAACACAATTTTATAGTGTCTAAAGCACATACTTCAATTCTTTTGTGCCTATTCACAGTAAATTGTCCCAATTTTCTATTTAAGAAACCAACAACTACACTATTAACCCTTTGCGGTCCTATGTCAGACTTAGTCTGACATTTAAAAATCTGAGTTCCGGTCCGATGTCCAACTGAGTCTGGCAAACAGTGTAATCATATGAAGATTTCTATCTTCTGGGTAGTTGCTCTGTGTAGTCTGGTCGATGTTTACCAACGTTTCAGAGGTCATACTGCCTCCATCATCAGGGCGATGAAGACTTCTGCCTTCTGGGTTGTTGAGCTGTGTAGTCTGGTCGATGTTAACCAACGTTTCAAAGGTCATACTGCCTCCGTTATCAGGGCGATGAATATTTCAGACGGTCAGTATTCAAAATAAAGTAACTGTGAACCTCTCAGAACATATTTCACCATATTTAGCAAGTTTCATCTGTTTTATGCAAGTTATAAAAGACAATCAAACCAGTTCATAATAGTAGTTGAATGTATAGGTAGGACTTGGTTTACGCCAGGGTTAGGTTCCTCAGATTTCCAGCGTAAGATGATGTGGCATAAATTGAAGCAAAAATATAATGGGAACATACATAAATACATTAGGTTCCATTCCAAGATTTTCAGTAATCAACAGAAAATACTTGAAGAAAGTTTTATTTTATGAAATTTATGTATTGAAAATTGTATAATGTTTAAGATAATAATGTTTAAGAAAAAAAAATTTACTGTTTCTTTTCTGATAATAAGTTATAGTATGGCTGCAGAACCTCCTGAATTCCTCTCTTAACGGTTGAACTCCGCTCCCAGTTGGGGTCATTGTTCACATCCCTTGTTAATAAGAGCAATAGCCTCTTGCATTGACCTTTCGGCGTCCTGTTCTCTAGACACCAGTGCATGTTCGCCAGTTCACTTGCAGTTCTTAGCCGGTGGTTAATGTAATTTGCTTTCTCTCGTCACATTTTATATACCATTTTTAGTTTAATTATTTATATTTTATGGCATAGTTTTTAATTTAGTATTATAGTTTTATTACAATGTCAGGACCATCTGTGTCTAGGAAGTCAGGCAGGGTCCTGACCCATCACCCCCTCCAATTGTGTTCTACAAGAGGTTCAAAAGTGAAGCAGGCGTAAATTGAAGCGGCGTAAACCGAGTCCTACCTGTATACAGTTCAGTGGTATTTAAATAGACCAGCAGAGAGCTGTAGTGGTATTTAAAAGGGACTGCAAAGGGTTAATAAATTATAGTCTCAAATTAGCAATTGACAATATTTCTGTTGTGATGTAATTTTTTGCCATCTGGCAGCTGTTACATGCACTGCTCACAGAATGGAATCTGAAATTTAATTGCGTAATAATAGTTCACATAAATGCAATATAAATACTCAAGCTTACATTGCTTAAAGCATCAGTTCTCTAGTTGCTACAATAATTGTGATTTGCAAGTAAATGTTTGTATCATGCTGTAAGTTAAAACATCAAAATTTTGTTGGATTCAGCAGAGGTTTACAGAATCTCTTTTTACAGTGACAAAGGGCAAGATTAGTTTTTGTAAATGCTGTTATAAATAAACACACTCAAAAGCACTGCTTGTAATAAACTAGAAGTGCATGGTTTGTAAACATGGGTTTTTCAGAGTTACACATGCCTATTTAAAACACCTACAATAAAAGTCTTTAGTACCTGATCATCTGTGGTCTAGTTTTATTATAGAGATGACAACCATTTCCTGTAACACATTAATAACTACAGATTTGGGACGTCCATATTCTGAGACAACTCAGAGGAAATTCACTGTGTCAGTTACATTATCTATTATTGTTTATCTACATATTTTCAATAAGACTATAATTTTCTACATACAAAAAGAAGTGGACCATGAACAGAATTTAAAATGCAATCGCCCGACACCTATTAACAACCATTCAACAAGTACAATACATTTCCTGACTTAAAATACATACCAACATGTTCATTTTGGCAACTACTGTATTAATTCTTCAAACAGACAATAAATCTTTTACCTGAAATAAATCGACCTTTCTCAATTTTGATGATGGGTCATCTTCAGTTTTATGGGCTACTGCTCTTTTTCCCTGTGGAACAGTGTTCCCATGTTTAGACTTCATATCTTCTTCCTCTTTAGTTTTATCCCTTTTAGGGCAACTGCAGATTCGTACCTTCATTTTCCGGCGTCCAAGCACAGCTAGACTAAGTGAGGAAAATGGAAGAAAAAACAGAACTGTAATTATGAAGAGAATATAAACAAAGTGAAAGCAAAAGCAATCTTAAACCATTGTTCAGAGGATGAAATACTTTCTAGATAACATTGTGTGTTATCGTCAGTATTAGAGTGGAACTAAATATTACAAACTTAAAGGTGAGAAATAAGAGAAGCAAAGGTTAAAATATAACGAAACTTCACAGAGGGGAGATGTAGGTCAAAAGTGCGGGGTGAGGGATGTGTTTACAACAATTAGACATACTTGGAATCTTCAAGTGTGAAAATCACGTCAGTTGGCCTTCTGTTCATGCCAGATATGCACGAATTTTTGCACATGAATTTAAACTCAACAGTAACCCAATCAGTCCCCGCCTGAGGATGTCCAAGAGGCACGCGGACACTGCGCCTCTCACTGCTTTCATCATAATCATACATTGCGTCCGAATGAATAATCCTCAGCACATGATCAAAAATATCAGCAGAAAAGCCTGCAATAAAACCAAAAATCACATGCAGTAATCACTTTAAACAATAATTAAAAATAAGTTGTTATAGAACATTATTCTAGATTTGTGACGGACTTGTCAATGTGTGTTTTTAAATTTATATGGATGACCAAATGTATCAATAAACTGAATATTGGAGAACAAGGGGTTTGCAGTATTGCTTCATATTCAGGTCCTTACTACAAATCTTGGCCTATAGACCAGCCAAGATACTTGTCTTCCTCAGTGCCTCCAAAAAATGTTGTGATAGTATCTCAAATCACGCCACGGCCACATACTTCCATATGCTTTCCAATTCACTATTCAGTAATCATCCCAACATCGAACACTGTACAGTGTGAGCTATTACCAGTATTATTTAAAAAAAAAATAATAATAATAATATACATCTTCAAACTGGACTGGAACAGAACACTAGATACTCTTTCACAATTTTAACATCACAGAAATGTCAGCCATTAAGAGATGACACACTGCTGACAGTGGGGGAAGGAGGGTGGAGGAACAGAGGACTGGTGGTAATGACAATACAATCACGGTATGAAATTGTGTTCCAGGATAGGAGCAATACCAGATTCTAGGTCTGAGTCTGAGGGGAAGTGGTGGCGCTACAAATTTAAATGTAGAAGATTGTGTCAGAATTGGAAATAAGTCTTATATGAACTTTGCAGAACAAGAAATTTTAGAAAAAATGAATGGCTCCTACTGTCCTCCAAATGCTTAAATCTATAGACAGATCCTAGCAGCATTTACAAATTATTAATTGCTGCGTATGCAAGAATATGACATAAACTAGAACAGTCTCACTATATTAAAATTGCAAGATATGAAACACTACCATGTTTGTGAATTCTAATACATAAAATGGCACTCAAAATTCATAGGTATGAGTAGCACCACTGATGAAAGGTCCTAATACAGAATGTTTTGTATTCCAATTATTTATCATCATTTGTGTATCACAACTTTCAATCAATTATCATCCGTAAGCATAAAATGCATAGATGATCCATATACAGGTAACAAAACTTTCCTAACATAAAAATCCTTGTATATTCAACAAAAAAATGCTCGTCTTAATCATACTGAAAAGATTTGGAAAAAGAAATGTTTTATGATAGTAATTTATAATGGTTAATCTTAAAGAAAAAGCATATTTTACTTACTTATGCATATAAACTTTTAAAAATACTGCCATTACCTTTATTATGTGGATTTGATTCAGCCCGATGAAAAAGACAACGGACAATGGGTTCCTGAAATGCGTCAGTTTCACAGTACACTGGAACAGCTCGCACAAAAAGCCCGCTTTGAAATGGTTCACACTTGAATCCCAAGTGAATGGCTGTGTCTATATTTATAAACAATTTGTTCAAATCGTAGGAAAACTGCACATGTGGAGAAAAAGAAAAGTAAAAGAAAATCTAAGGAGCAAAGATATCTATTAGTTCAGCATACCATCTGCACACAGAAAAATTATGTTAGTCATCCAAGTATGCACTTAGTATTTGCTTAGAATGTTAGCTTTATAGTTAGAATGTAATGTTACATATGATAAAAATGCTATTAAAAACAGCAAGACCTCTAATGCATCAAGAGATACTTAAACATTGTATTAGGACAGGTATAAGAAAATTCCTTTGAAGTTTCTATAAGTTTACACACTAAATTACTTTTACATATATTAATTTCCACATCACAGTTTAATGCAGAATTAGCAACAAATTATTAACTGCATGGACAATATGAATAACAGAACCTTAAAACCTTTAAAGCCCAATAGTAACTATTTGTCCCACCCACATCGGCAATTAGTAACGTTTTATTTTGTATTTATTGGTTTCATACAATTTTCATGGCAAACAGATTATTTCATTGAAGCATTATAGGCTTGAACTAAGAAGACACCTGGTTCAAAGATTGGCTAAGTTACCACCTATCCTGAATGAAGTGTTTTCTACGTAGTGTTGCAAGATGATTTGAAGAGAAGTACATTCTATATGCCATGAACATTTACTTACAAAAATAAGGAAAATACCATAATAGCAATGAGAAACCACCATATTCTATTGAATGAAAGTACTATAATTCATGACAAGTATGACAAGAGAGAACACTACGAGCATGTAAGCATGAAAAACAATACTGAAAATTATACATACCATCCACTGCTTTCCCGAAGAACCACCATCTATTTGAATTTCAAACCCGAATGGGCCTGCGTACTCATCTGTTGTTAGCATAGCACAAGTAGGGGAAGACATTAATTTCATTGGTGCCACCATCTAAAAAGAAAAATTGTTAGCTGACAGAACTGGAAGACAATCGGACATAATTACTGCAAGTAATAATCCAAATTATATAATTTGGGGAAAACAGAATTGATCAACAGATGAATGACAATTACATAATTGAACACTTCAAGGGAAAGACTATTCAGTTATGTACACAGTGAAATTCTATACACTATCCACAAAACAGTTACCAGTATTTGTGGGAATGATGTCTAGTCAAACATTCCCCTGGATGAAAACAAACGTCACCTCCAATCTGCAACAATTATCTGAGAAACATAAAGAAACTTTAATTGATTTTTAAACATTTCTTTTCCTCTGTTCCTGATCTACTTGCTGAGATAATATTTTGCCTGTCACAATGTTTAACTTGTCAGCTTCCAACACAGCCAGTTATGTGCATGATTTGGCAGACCTGCACACGGTGATTATTTCCCACTAGCTTCAAACTGCCAGCAGCAGTGGAACAGAAATTTCTCATTCAGCGAAACTCATTTTATGTTTAACCCTTTAAAGGCCAGTGGGATCTACATGTACCACTTCCTTTAACAATCTGAAAATTTGAATTTTGTATTTATGGGTCTTGTATGATTCTCAGTATAAACAGCAATTATTTCCTTGAACAGCATTAACAAATTTATCTTTGTAATGGTGAAATGTTTTTTTCCAGTAAAAAATAAATTTTTAAATATTACTTAGAGGAGGGTTGTTTTTGAGAGTTAAATCATGATTTACAATATATCACATAATGTTATAATTCCTTCCAGTGAAAAGTGCTAAAATATGTTTGTTTGTTGATATTAGTATTAGGACAAATATGTAGTGCACATGGGGGAGATAAGAAATGCATACAAAATTTTAGTTGGAAAGTCTGAAGACATAGGCATAGATATTAAAATGAATCTTAAAAATACAAGATGTAAGGAAAATGATGACTGGATTCACATACCTGAGGATAGGATTGACTATCAGGCTCTTCTGAACAGGGTAATGAAACAACAAGTTCCATAAAAGGCAGGGAATTTTTGGACTAGATGATTGACCGTCACCTGAAGAAGGATTCTGTGGCATAGAATGAGTTAGTTACTTATCCAATTCTATACATCAATAAATGTAAATTTTAACACTAGGAAGTTTTTCATTTACCAGTACGACATTGTCAAATTGTGACTTTTGAAAACATGATTGTTCTTCTTCCTTGACTGGATTAACATCAAGAACAGAATGTTTTTCAACCATGTCTTGAAGAATACTTACAAAAGGTTCATTTTCAACAGCACTGATGATATCTTCATAGGATTCTGAATTTCTGAAAGTGCAAACAGACTGTTAAACAGAACTGAAACAACTCCGTACACAAACTCTTCAGACATTCTTACTGATGCAAGACACAATCTTATCTAACCTAATATAAAATTCAAAGATTAATATTTCATACATCTTGAATTCTACTCACATAAGATGTTTAAAGTCAGGTGGCAAAATGTCACTCTCCTGACTACAATGAAAAGAATCACTCATTTCTGAACCTGCAGGATAAAAAATGAAATAAATGTCAATGAGGTCATTTTACAATGCAAAATCTACTGTCACTGAGTGAGTTGTATGGGCTGAATGAGTTGTGAGGATGATGACAAAAGAAGAAATAACTACAACCTACTAAAACATTGTCATTCCAGGATTATTCCTGGAACTGAGGAAAAACATAAGATTGTCATTCCAGGATTATTCCTGGAACAACTGAGGAAAAACATAAAAATTCTTAAGCATAATTTCTGTGCCCAGGAACATTAGTTATACAAATCAGAAGAAAATAAATGACTGGGCATCAAGAACGAGGATCTCACTAAAGTAAGCATTTAATGTTTTACTTGTAAATAAGAAGTTAATTTATAATATAAAAATATCTAACTGCGAAACATTACAATAAACAGATACTAGAGTCAAATAATGAAATAAAAGCAGTGAGGAAAACAGTGCAAAAGGAAACAAAGAAATATTCTACAGATGTGACCCCATTAATAAACATAAATGAGAGTGTAATAAAAAAATCCCAAACTTTTAGCAAATAATTTCAATTCTTACTTCTCAACAATTATAGAAAGAATAAACAATGACACCACAACCAAAACAACAGAAGACACAACAAAGTACTTTACTTAAGCAATTCCCAAAACCTTCACAAACATAAATCTTATGCCCACAACAATAAATGAAATTAAAAGTATACTTCTGACTAATAAAAAAGAATTCATGTTCTTATGATGAAATATCAACAACGTGACTCAAAAGCTATGCACAGAGCTGTGGAGTCGGAAGCAATTTTAGGTGGATTAGGAGTCGGTAGAAATGTACCGACTTTGACTTTGACATAAAATCTTAAGAATGCAATTTTAGGTGGATTAGGAGTCGGTAAAAATGTACCGACTTTGACTTTGACATGAAATCTTAAGAACACATTCGCTACCGTGTGGGCCGCCGGCGGCCCACACGCTTAGGGAGATTTAACGATGCATTGAGCCACATGATGAGGGAATAATGTCTTGTAACTTTGGCTCCAGTACCTTCAGAATACAAACTGTCTACAAAACAACAGATTTCTGCAATAACCATTAGGCTTATACTTAAATACTGGGACACTGGGAATGACCCGTTCTTCAAGTGCCTGAGCACTGCGGGTCCCAACTTTTCAATGGCTTGATCTATAGACATTCAGTAGGACTCCTTGGACGAGGGATTGGCCCATCGCAAGGCCTCTACCTGTACATAGGACAGGACAGCACAACACAGAAAAACGCGGACAAACATCCATGGCTTCAGTGGGATTCAAACCTACGGGCACAGCGACCAAGTGGCAGAAGGCCCACGCCTCAGACTGCGCGGCCACTGCGGACCCCGTATATTTAAATATAGGTTAGAAGTCTAAAAAGTAGCCTGATGATTAACATGGTGGTGATGAAATATTTTGTGGTACCATTTTAGTAGGTTCACCATTATTAATACATGAGCTTTTATGAGGGAGTAGGAGTCGGAGATTTTAGTACCGACTCCACAGCCCTGGTGCAGACTACATTAGCATTCCCTAAATTTATGTTTGTAAGCAATCAATGGCAGTATAAGTTTACCCAGAATTACGGAGATATTCATAATTTAGAGTAGAGTAGAGTAGAGTTTATTTACATTCCATAGATCCTTCTTAGGACTCAACCAAAGGATCCTGTGCATAAGAAGGTACAAACACCATGCATATATAACTACAGACCAGTTTCATTACCAACAGCTTTCTTTAAAATATTTTAGAATGTCATCTATAAGCGAGAATGTGATTTTTTAAACTCAAACAATGTACTTGCAAATAAACAATTGGTATTTAGGATGTCTCTAAACTGACAAAAGCCCTATTCTGCTTTACAGATTAAATCTTATAGGCTCTTAATAATAAAATACATGTTACTGGAATATCTTGTGATCTTTCTAAAGCATTTGACTGTGTAAATCATGACTCACTTCTGTCAAAACTCAATTTTATAGAATTAAAAATATGGCTGGTCATTGGTTTAAATCGCACCTTCACGACTGATGGTAATAAGCAAAAATAAAATCACCAGACCGACTTCCACAATGATACCATTTCAACCTGTACTTAACATTACAGCCATAAGAAAATATAATTTATTAATTCAACACTCAGAAGTGGTGTGTTTTGTTGTGAGGCATTGAATCTTTGGGTTCTATTACCAAATGGTTTAAATAATTATTAAATCAAAAACGTTTTCTTCAATTATAAATTAAAAAAGTTCTAATGCTTTGTTTCATTGACCTTGGATGTCAAACAGATATAGTTTAGACGTTTCTTACGTCATGATCGAGCCTTGAGGGTGGGAAACTTGTTTCTCCGAAACAAAGACGTAAGTATGGGTCCACAAGGCGTCACAACTCAGAACATAACATCTTCAGAGGAGTGAGAACGTTATATTAATCTGCTTGTTTTTTTTATATTTCTCATTACGACTTAAAAACTTACCAATAATGTGGATGCAAAAATGATAACAAAAAATACAGCTCCGTACCTAACACCTCAAGCTTGTTACCGTCAAACTTCCCTTAAACAATAAGCATCACATCATTCACAACTGCCAACATCGGCTGGTAACATGGATACCAACTAACAGAACAGTACAGCCTATGAAACGCATTAATGGGATTGGTAAACAGAGCCTTATAACTAAAACGACGGTGTGCTTACGCTAACGGAATTGTTGTCGCGGCAGAAGTCTTGACTATTCAAACTAGGGTCTGTTGCTTCTGATGAGAGGTTATTCCGTCAGGCAACTTGTCCTTCATGAAAAGGATTTTGTTTGTATGGTTCCCTTCCATTTGAAGACAGAAGGGGTGGAATCACTTTGGTTGAAGGGGTCTGTGACTGGGAAATCGCTTCAGCTGAAGGCCTCCATGATTGGGCAGGGCGGGCTGTGACCTTTTTGAATGATACCCTAGCAATTTCATTAAAACTAATGAAAACAACGAAGAACCTGTTAGGGTAAGTGACAATGCTGAGAATCAGATGGATTATGTAGTGGCAGGAAACACCCTGAACAAATTGGCAAATCAGGATATAAAACCAAAAGATCAAGATCGATATAAAATCAATTGCATATATATATTTTGATTCAGTAATAAAATAAGTATTTACCTATGATGATTCTATGCGCCAATCCTTCTGTATGAAGCAGATATGCTTTTCAATAAACATATTGTTTTCGTCAGAAACATACTTCTACATTCATTGTGAAAATTCAGTTATTTCACGATGAATCTCGACACACAGACATCACTTGGGATACATGAACAAATGTGTGTGAATAAATACAATATGAAAAGTAAATTCCTAGGGATCGTGGCCGATTCTGCACGTCTTCCACCTCGTGACTTTATTACAAGTGTTATCAGGCAATACAGTATGAATTTTATTAACTTATCTGTGGCATGACGTCCATACAATTTTCAATAATTTCCTACCATACATTCTCTGTTTATGAAATTCTTGTGCAGAGCACCAATTTTCACTCATTCAGAACGGTTTAATTGGGTTAATGGGGCATCTGCACAGATGGTGTTGCCCAGTGGTATCATATAACTTTTCGATGTGAGGGCATCCTGTGAACGTTATTATTGATTTCAGTAATTTAAACACTCAACTATTTTCTTCAATTGTGCATGCATTGATTTCAGTAATTTAAACACTCAACAATTTTATTCAATTGTGCATGATGTCAGCACACAAAAAAATTATTAAAATATATGATATGGTTTCATTTTCACTTTATGTAGATATTACAATGACCCCATTCTTCATCATGGGTAATATGTATATAAACTTTATACTCATCCAGCTGCTGGAGGTGATATATGCGTTACCAATACAAATATATGCCTCTTCTAGGCACACGACATGAGGAAAGTTATTTCACGGGTGTCTAATGACATGTCTTGACGAATCACAGAATATCAGACCACAGGCGTCATGTTCTACTTGACTCCATTTTGCATACATCATACAGTCAGCTTCACTGTATGAAGCACACAGTACTTCCCATTCTAATGTAGGTAATTAATGTTGTTAATGTTCCCAATGTCAAAATGTTATTTAAATTCAGTTCTGAAATACTACAAATGTTTACTGAATATCAAATATTATACAACCAGTTTCATGGCAGACTGTATAAAGGACATTCTGGTAAATAACTTCAAGCCATAGAGTTTATGTTACATTTCAGTTTCACTTATGTTCAATGATATTAACTTTCTTCCTTTTCTCCCCCTCATGAAAACCATAAAACTGTAAATGAGCCACATTATGCATCTTCACAGAACTGGTCTTCTTTGTCAATTCCAGAGTACACCTTTCCTCTGCGTTGATAAGCCCATGCCATTCGTTTTGAAGTGAAACTAATGCCAACTTCCCCTCTGTTACATACAGTGATGGCACCTGCAGTGTTCCCAACTCTTTTTGTCATTGCTGCACAACCATCTATAGTTGCTTCACTTGCAGATTTACCTAAAGTAACAAAAATATTGCTTAAAACCATAATGGGGCAAACATTACACGATGTAAAAGGTTGCAATAATGGCATGCCTTAGAATGCTATTCCAGGACAAACATGAAAGGAGAGAGGGATTCTACAAACATTTATAATAAACAACAAAAAGCTCCACCGAGATCCAATCCAGTAATGTCCAAAATATGAAAGTGGGGGTTAATTTAAATTACAATAATTATTCAAATAATGTAATACAAAATGGTAACCACACAAAATTAAATCCATGTTTCAATTTTATGCCAATGTAAGTTATGTTTAAACTAGTAGACACACACACACACACAGTGTCAGTAACTTCCATTTATAAATTTATAACTCATGTTACTCTATACACAGATGAAAGCTTTGATGGGAAGGATGTATCATTAATTATTTCCAGAATGTATTATAATCAATAAAAAACAACATCTCCTTAAATGGTGTTTTAGATCATACTACAGAGGGTTCCATACATCTGGAATCACAGGAAAACTTTTTTTGTTTCACTGTTCACGGATGTAAAGCCTCTAAGCACAGAAGACTGTGTGAAACAAAATCAGTTATCCTATTATTCCAGGCTTATGGGGTACCTTTCATTACAATGAAACTTCATTTCAAGAAATGAAACTGTGAAAATCACTATGATTTATTGTAACATTCCATTATGATCATTTTATTTCTAGAAGTAAATTACAAATTTTACACACCATATTAAATACATATCCTACCTTGTTCCATCAGTATCAAAATGTTATGTGCCAGACAAAACTTCATGATACTCTCTCCATGGCCTGTAGTTGAAACAGCTCCAATATTATCATCAGCATATCCTCCACATCCTGCAATTATAATACAGAATATTAAAAGCAAAAAGTAAAAGCCATCCCACTGGGGGTATATCACCCACTCATTCTTAACCTCAGCATTAGATAGGGGTGAATGGTCAGCATCACGCATTGGCGGTGCTTTACCCCTGGGAGAGGACTCTGGTACCCATTGGATAGCAGGCAGGGCGGGCCCCAGAGCCAGTCTGGATGCAGAGGCTACAGAAAAAGTCCTCTTCTCTGTAAAGTATTTCAGAAAATGCTGAAAACAATGTACTACACAAGTAGACTATGTTTTAGTATTTCTGATGTTATATCCACC